TGGGCAAATCTTCATCCATTTCATTTCCTGCTCGGTTACGGTTGCTCGTTTTTAAACCCAGCCAGTTGTTGGGAGGGTAGAAACTCAGTAATGCTGACCCGGAGCAATGCACCTGTCATTCATGTTGAGATTCTACGCCCTACTTTGGATGGACAACATCCTGCACCGGTTTGAAACCATGGTTGAAACCAAGGTTTGTTTGCATTTACAGGGGAATCATCAGAAATCAGGTGGACACCAGAGGGGACCAGAGGGAAGTGGGATGACCTAAACATGGTACGCCAACCAAAAGGGCAACAACCAAGCACCAAGCTTTTGGAACTTCTACAGGTTCCACGGGTTCCACGCGTTCCACATTGGTTACTCTTTGCCTAGTCCTTCTTGGGATAGTACTAGACAGCTTTTCTGTATTCAACTCTCCTTTCGCCTTCACAGGTCGGGGAACTGGTTTTGGGGCACTTTGCTGTACTCACTCACCATTTGCCACTCGCTATCCGATGCTGCCTGGGTATTCCTCAAAATCATACGGAGCCGCCGTTTGTAGTTGCAACCATGGCAATTGGGACAGAACCCTGAAGGGTGTGGCCAGAAAAGGGGAAAAGCACCGAACACGCCGCGAACAGGACCCCCAGTTTGGTGTGTTGCTGCTGCTTTGCCCGGCCGCCACTTGTTTCCACGTGGAAAAAGCTGTTGCCCAGTTCGCACCCAGAAACAAAAGAGGTCATCCATTTGGCGCCGTTGCCAAAAACGGACCCCAACTTCTGGGGAGAGACCAAAAGTTGTCCAAAGGTTGGCTTGGGGCAACTGAGAAATTGGCCAAACAATTCCTCAACTCGGCCTTCCGACGCCCCCGATGTTTGATCCGTTAGGCACCCCTGCCGCATCCGTCAGCGCGCTGGCGATGTCCTGGCGTGGACGTGAACGCAGGTGCCCCGTGGGTCGGGCGGAGCACGTCTTAACTCATTTTTTGAGTGAAACTGCGATGACATCTTTTCTGGGGCCCCCGGAAAATGTTGTGAACCCCTCGGCTCCATTTTTCGGGGGGATCCCCAAGTCACTTCTTCAAGCCAAAGACATTCCAAATGCGGGTTGTCACCAGAGGTGCCTCGTTGTTCACGTGGCAAAAGCCAAGCCTTTCCTCGACGTTCTGTGGCGGTCGGTTTGGGTTTCCTGGTAGTTGCCGCGCTTTTCTGCTGCACGCGCTGTTTGCGTAGCGCTTTTTTTGCTCCTTCTTGGATTTTGCTGTATTGTTGCTGAAATGAATGACTAAGGGTGGCTGAGGGTAGGCTCTTTAGGGCGGGTTAGGGATGGATTGGGGGCATGTGAAGAGTTGCTGGTGCTTTGGCCTAGATTCGCTTCCAGGCACTCTCAAGGGTTTGTTGGTTGCTCTAGGATGGGGTTAGGGTGTGGCGTGGTTTTGGTATTAGCTCAAGTTGGATATGGAATTGTTTCAGGCTGGAATAGATGATTTGTGATTTAGTGTGGATTCAACATGGATTTCTTGTTGGTTTAGGGCGGGTTTGGTGCGGGTTTAGGGTCAGGGTTGGCTTCAGTTGGTTTAGGGGTTGCGCTGGTAGCGCACGGTACCGCCAAATTACAGGTCCACGTACGGTCGTAAATGGACCTCTGGGGTGCTCGGGACAAAAGCCCCGAAGCCAAGTTGGCGTGCGCAAAAACACGCCGAAGCACCGCGGCCTGCTGGTTTTCCAGGCCTCACCCCCTCGCAGATTGTCCCGGGCCAAGGGGGCTGTTTTTTTGCATTGGGGAGTTGGGTGACCGATTCATGTACCAACCGCTTGAGAGGTTGTACGCCTTCCAAGAAGTCTTCGAGGCAATGATGAGATCCAGACGGATCCAAATCGAGTCCGAACCAATGCCAAAGGTCCGATTGGTGTCCCAATTGACCTAGCATCTACCCGCCGGTTATCTCAGATGCCCAGTGGCCAGGTGAAACAAAGAATCGGCATCCTTGTTTGGTTGGTTGACTTTAAAGGAATCAGAACCCTACCCCAAAAAAAAACGGAAAAGGGGCGGAATCCACGGGGCAACTGGTTCAACATCGGTTTGGTCCCCATTTTAGATCAAAGAGGTGAGTCATAGTTATATAAACCCCGGTAGTAAAATGGTCTACCCAGGACCATGTGCAGAATTGTGAAGGCGGATATTCATGGTTGGGATTGTCCCTGACTTCCCTTCTACCCGAATCGGTTTTGAGCAAGTGGCTCACCTCTCAAACCCGTGGGACGAAAATCGGGACCAAATCCGAATCCGCCCATCCGCTCCTGCGCGCGCTGCGTGGGATCCGCGGAGGGTGCCAACGGCATCCTGGAAGAGAACTAATTCATGGCCTCATTCTTTTTGCCATGGCCACCCCCTAAGTGGTGGGTCAAAAGGAAACAGCCCCAGCTTCAAAGACTTTGATCAACCCCAGAAACCCTCAAAATAAAATGACCCCAGTTCAAGCGGTTTACGAAAACCTTGTCCGAATTCTTGTTGATTGGGAGGGCAGGTTTACTAAGCTAATCACCGTCCAACATGACACCCTGCATTTTTGACATGGAACCCTTTCAAGCCAGTCTCCCACAAGGAGGAAGATGCTTCCTCTACCATGGCTTTTGCGGTTCCATGCCTGGCGGTAAAATGGACAACTCCTCTTCATTTGCTCCAGGAAAACCACCAACTATGTGTCAATGTCCAGCGCTGCAACAGGAAACCGACTATTTTAAAGTGCCTGAAACCCCGGAAGGCGGAAGGCCAGGTTGGGACAGTCTCCTATATCAACCTTCAGCCTTCAATGGATGAGATCTTTCCGACCAGAACGACCGTTTTTGTGGCGAGCAGTGGCCTTCGGTTTGTATCCGCGACGACGAAAGCATTGATGGGAATTTGGATCAAATCCCCCCTCCAAACCACCCCCGTTCCCCCCCAAAATAAGACTAGGTCCCTGCTTCATTCGGGACAACGGAACTGGTACCTTTATTTTGGGGTGGACCTCAAGCCCACGGAAAACCGGAACCCCCGCCTGGTGAGCCGCCTGTGGCTGGGCTCCCGGCTGGGCTCCGGCTGGGGCTCAGACGGCTGCTCACGGCTGCGGGCGGGTGAAGCTTTGGCTGGGACCGACCTCCGGATGGAACAAGGTGCCCCAAAAAACAACACGATCTTTTAGCCTTGTCTGGAGGTCAGGGAGGTGTTTTTTTCATGTTTTTGTTGTGGCGAGGGAACAAGGACCTCAAGTCGTCTGTTTTCTTTTCCACGGTTCGTGGTTGGTTTGCACAAAGAAAGCAATCAATAGTCAGCCCGGTCACTGCCATCTACAGAATATCTCCCAAGATACTCACTTTCTGAGTTGACCCAAAAATGATGAAGACATCTACTATCCCAGAGTCTTGTAAGTTTGCCACCTCGGGCGAGCAGGCGCAGAACAACTGCTCGTGCATCCATTCGGGGTAGATCCACCCTACACCAAATGGCCAATAGCGGGGGTATTAGGCACCAGGATGCCGTCGAAATTGCAGCCATGGCATGCTGCGCTCGAGTCTGAGGGGAAATGGCAACCCTTTCACAAGGGCATCGGAAAATTGGCTGGGCCCTCAAGGACTGGAAATGCTTGATTGGCCCCCCCCTTCCCCGATCCTCCCCAGTAGACTGCCCAATACTTTTGTCAGTTCACATGAAGCCGACGATTAGCACACAGCACTGCTCCCATCTTCCGGGAAGGATCGATCGCTTTTTGGCTGTGGCTCAAAAAACTGGTACCAAATTGGGTTGAACCTGCTGTTTGCCCCACCCAGCCTTTTTTCTCACTCTGCGCTCCCCTCGCGCATTCATCCATCAAGCCCATGTAGTGCGCTCGGCCCAAGTTTCGGGCATTTGGATCGAACATGTGGGCCAGTTGTAGCCAACAAGAAACCATGGGTCGTTGTTTGATGCGCCATAGGTGTCCCTAATTGTTGGTGTAGCCCAAGAAACCCTGGTAGTTGTTTAATGTTCCATAGGCTTCACGAAAGTTCGGTCTGGCTGAAGTGTCCCCAATCTTCTCCTTGAAAGGACCTCTTTGCTAGCTCCCAAGTGTGAACAAAGATCGGCTTGCTTTTGTTTTTTACGGAAACCGGTCCAACGATTCCGGGTCAAACCTCTCAGCGCGCGCCATCATTCAAACCGAACCCAAGGTGCCCTCCACCAGGATCGCCCACACTACCACACCATGGCCGAGCCAGAGTCCACTTGCCCGGCACCGCCTCCGCCTCCCCCCGATGTCTAGTCTGGACGATAGTCCCTGTGAGCGGGAATGCGAGTCCTTCCCAGAGTGAGTCTTTTTGGGGGCAACATGAAACCTGGTAAGAATCCTGGCATGGCTGACAAGGTTCTGGTTGTTGTTTTTCCCCGTGACCAATGCCCGGAGCCTGGCGGTTTTACGGATCCACCAAAGTCACACCCGCACAAAGAAACCTTCCACATGCTAGAAACCACCAGGTACCAACAGCGAACGACCCCAGACCGTTGGTCCCCGTTTTCGGCCACCAGAAATATACATGGTGTATAAGGGGTATAAGGGTATAAGGGTATAATGCTAATATATACCCTGGCAACCACAAGTACAAGGAAGGGTCCCTTCACATGTTGAACAAATTCTAAGGGACGGGCCGGATGCCCCGGACTCTCGCATCGGGACACTGTGAGACCTGGTGCATCTCGAGCCGAGTGATGGGACAGCTGAATCGTCGCCCAGTTGATTCCGGTTGGCTGTTTGCTTGGAGTGGGTGTGTCCCAAAGCGGGGGGGGGCCTTGGATGCGTCTTGGATAACTCCTTGTCTTGAGGCACAACTGTAATAAGATGCCAACAAAATTACACGCATCATATATAGTTTGGTGTCAAAATCCCAAACAGCCCCTTCTGACTATTTAGCCCCTTGTCGTGCCGATTGATCTCTCGTTTTTTCTCCCACGCCTTTCCGAACCCTTCCGGTTGGGAAAAAACAGAAATTTCCATCAGCCTGGACTGCCTCAGGGGCTTGGCTTGCAGCTGATCCATCTCAGTCGATGTCTGGGGGCTCGGGATCTTCGGACTCCTGAGTTCAGCGATCTCCTTTTCGGAAACCAAAGGCCCCAAAAGATCTAAAAGCAATCCACGAAAACGGCCCCCTGCTTGATTTTCCATATCAAAAACATCTTGGCTGGCTGGTGATTGAACACCTCCAGTTGCTCGTTTGCTCGTTTGCTCGTTGGTCGGTAAGCTCATGTTACCCATGGGGCAGCCTGTTCTGAATTTCTCCAAGGACACGCCGAGATCAGTCGGTAAAGGTCAAGCTAAATGAAGCCCAAGGAAGGCCCGAGGCGGTGGAAGCTCAAGGAATACTCTGAGACTTGCCCTCCACGACAAAAACTGAAACTCTTGCGACAAGGGCAACCCGACTGGGTCTGACCCGCTTTACAATCCAAGGGTTTGCCTCTTGATCATATTTTGCGAACCTTGCAAAATGTAAAATGACTTCAAGCGAGGTCTCAAAAATGGTCGAAAATTGAACCCTGCCTCTAAACCTCCACATCTCAGCCCGACCGCTTTTGCTTTAAACCACACCCCCTCCCCCCCCCCCCCCAAAACAAAAAACACACACACACAACAAATAATTACAGGCATCCTCCTGAAGGCCCAACTTTTGATCTTCAACTCAAGGCGATGGATTTGGTTCTGAATGATGCTTAGTTTCCCTGGTTTCAAAACACCTACTTACACTCGAAATAAGTTTACCATTTGCCCCCTTGCCGCTTACCCTGCCCAGGGTTGACTTTGTTGCTCGGCAAGGGGCACCAACCCCCTTTTCAGGCCCCACCGATGATCCAAGCGGGTTCTTGAAGGGGGATCGAACAAGTCCCAAGCTGCCCTGCCTGAACCAATCCACATGTCGTGCGATGGATCGGATCATGGACTGGGTCTTGAAATCCGTTTCGCGTGCTGCGGTTCCCTTCCGCGGGAGGCCGAAAAGAAAAACGGCATGGTTTTTTTTCCCCAACCCGCGGGCTCCGGCGAAACTCTTTTGATTTGGAAGCCGACCTGAGGGGATCCGACCTGTCGATCCAACTTCAGCAACGGCTGTCCGCTCCTCGGCCGCCTCGACTTCCTGCAAAGCGTGTGGAGGATTGGCGCTTCGACTGGCGAGTTGGGTTGGAAGGCCCTGGGTTCTACATCACAACACTGAGAAGTTTCTAACCAGTTGGCCCAAGGTTATAATTGCGTCCCGAAAAGAGGAAACGTGAGGATGCCCGTTCTGCGATTCCGGTTGAAAAAAAGTGGTCAGGACAGCTGGCGCTGTCTTTGGGATGGGTTCGAAGCGAAAATCAAAGGAAACCCACCATTTGGGAGAAATACAACTTGGTTTTTCTCAACCCTGTGAAAATCGGTTTCCTGAAATCCCTACAGGAACCCAAAAGGGGGGCCTGGCGGCGAAACCCATACGTTCAAAGGGGGTTCACATCTGGCAACAAACAAGCTGCGGGTTTCGGGTTCGGCAATGAGTGTCTGTGAGGGAACATGTTCAAAAGCCACATGGGTGTGGGGTTTGACTTGCTGGTGCGATAGGTGTTGCGAATGAACCTAGGGGCTCCCTTGAAGAACTCCATTGGGGATGGTTTTTAGGGGTCATTCCATTTCTCCTTCCCTGCTGAGAACCAGAAAGTTAAGCAGGGATTCTCCGGAAAGTCCTGCAAAAGACGCACCTAAATCAGTTGTATCACAACGAATGGATTGAATGCAACTCACTTCCATCAGGTACCTTCCGCATTCTTTCCAAAGAAGGCAGGCTCCTTTCCAGACCACAAAGATATGGTGCAATCTCAGATGCCCAGCGGCCATGGGAAAACAAGGGCATCCCTTGGACCAAATTTGGTCCGGATATCTGGTTTTTTCGCCGCAAGCCAAATTTTAGATCCATACCTTGTTTGGTTGGATCTTTCTTCCGAAAATATATATATATTCGTTTCCCGCAGGCCAAATTTTCTCTTGGACCACCATGCCGCAAACTATACTACATACCTTGCCCTTTGGTTGGATCCACACCAATTGGAAATCCAGTTGGATACCCCGAGGTGCGATGCAAACGCCCCGCGCCTCCCGTGGCTCCCGCCGCGCGCGGGGCCGCTTTCCCTTGGGCCCCTCGTGCGGGGAGGGCGGCGAGGTGATGATATGTGCCGTCTGGCGCCTTCTGGGCGTTTTGAGTAAAATGCCCCGTGGTCTCTTGGTTTAACCAAGAAAATGTCTTGTGTTTTATCACAAAATCCGATTTAACGACCAACATGTGTTCTTTGTTTAGAAAACCCTATTTAACAACTAGCATGGTTGCATGTGTGCATGGTTTTACCAAAACCTCACACGGCTTCCATAGTTTGTTTCTCTTTTGGTCAAGTTTGCTAGTTCGGGTGAAGACGCGCTGAACGTGGGTGCGTTCCTACTGAACATGGGAAATGTGGTCAATCCCTGTTGTCGGTGGAAAGTGTCTAAATCCCTCACGTCCCTCCCAAATGGACCATAGACTACAGGAAATGTCGAGCAATTCTCATGTGTCTATTCCTTGCACTAGATGATGTGCAAGTCGTGGCCGCTTGAATCGAAGCAACTGCACCTCGGTGTGGTCCCAGCCTGGTGCTTTCTGCTTACCCCCTACTCCAATACCCGCTTATTCTTGGGTATGATGTCGACCCTCTACTTAAAAAGGAGGTATTTACCGTGGAAAACTAGGTTTTTCGACAAAAAATACCCTGAAAAAAGCGGGTACTTGGAGTAAGGGGAAGCCTTGCCCCATCTGCAAACATGAAGACCAGAGCTCCCTAGTCGGCCGATGTTCGAGGCGCTCCGAAATAAAACAAGAGGAGCCGTTGAAGCCGATAGTTCCCTTTTCGTTTCCTACCGTAGGTGGACGATTTAATCAAACCCGTACAGCTGTAACGCCCCCCCTCGAACCCCAATTTCAATGTTATTGCCCGTTTGTAGGGTCGGGCTGGGTGGACGAATTAAATCAAACCCCGATGACATGAAAAGCACTTGTGTTTAGTGTAACATTGACATTGGGGGGTGTGGGGGGGGTGTGCGCCGCATCTGTTGGCGGTTTGATTAATTTGTCCATCTACTGTAGGTCCTCCAGTAGCGAGGTTAGAATAAGGGTACCAACTTGTTTTCCGTAGTCTATTTTAGTAGGGGAACCCTGCCAACCAAAAAAGAAACAGTAAAAGGCACCCAGCTGGGGGACCCAGCTTTTAGCTTCCCTGTCCAAACCATCCCCAGTCGGGCCCCACTTCTGGAACCCCCCATAGCTCGAGAGCAGTTCGGCCGCCTCGAAGTCGGAGTCGTCCTCGGACTCGTAGCCACGCCTGCCGATCAATCAGCCAAGCCACGGGCCGATCGGGTCATGCGTCACTGGGGGGAAACGGTGCCCGATCTCTCCTGAAAAAACATCCGCGCACCGCATCATGCGCCGGACCAAGAAGGAAATGGACATCTGCAACGCCAAAAGGCGATATCAAAACTATCGAACAATCTACCCAATTGCTCTCAAAACGAAACATCGCAAACCCTTGAAAATGGCAGCTTGACGAATCAAGGTCGAAAAACCGCCACCCCCCCATAGACTGCAAAGCAAAGCTCTGGGGCCGAAAGATTCGGCCGAAAAAATCGCCCCGCCCAAATCGCCCCGCCCAAATCGCCGCGCCTCTTGCCCTTCTTCTTGGGCTCCGCAGCTTTCTCCGCAGTTTTCCCGCGGCCCCTGCCCCGGCCAGGCGTGGGCGCCGGGCCGACCTTCTTGCGCCGGCCCCGCCGGCCCTCGAGGGCGTCGACCTTGTTCTCGTGCCGCGCGCGGCTGTCGTCCCAGGGGTCTGCGTCGGTGAGCCTGGAGCAAGCGGAGCAAGCGGAGCAAGCGGAGAGGGAGGTTGGCAAAGCAACCAAGCTTGCTGCTCACAAAAATGGGAGCCCAACATGACCCCTAGGCCAATGGAAACGAAGACCGAAACCTGCGTATATAACCCTATAGCGCTTAAATTTTGAGCCACAACCACATCATTCACAAACCTCTTTTCCCGCGTTTCCCAATGTGCGGGTCTGCTCAGCTTTGTACCAAGCAGGCCCGTCAAACCTGAAACCTCTGAAACGAAGGACGCCCCAAGCAAAGAGCCCTGAGCTCGTCTTACCCTCGAACCGGTGAGCGCCGGGCGTTGCGAACAGAAATTACAAGCTGGAGAAGGCGATTTGGCATGGGTCAAAATCCAAATCGTACCCCCAGTGAACATCCCAATCCCTACTAAAATAGACTAAAATGGGCGGTGCACCTAAAACCCCCACATTCGAGTTGAGTAGCATTGGAGACCCTGTAAGTTGGGAAGATTGCTCTGGGAGGAAGCTGTTTGACGGCTGTGTGGATGATGTCCATTGGTCTTGCTGCTCTTCTACTTGCGTGCTCCACAGCAAGCGCGGGCAATGCTCCACAGCAAGCACGGGCAACTACTGTGGATGGCTGCGAAAACCACTTTGCACCACGAACTGAAACCATGGTTGACACCATTTTTGTTGCTATTTACAGGGGAATCATCATTCCATGGCTTCTGAGCTGGTGCAGATTTCATCCATCCACAGTATGGCTACGGTTGGGTTAGGCCAAAACCCACACGACAACCCTCTGCTTCTATTGGCACCTACCTAAATTAACTTGCGACATCTTCATCACCGGGCACCTCCCCCAGCCCCCGCCCACACCTTTTCTAGTGCTACCTTCCCCATTCTTTCCAGGGATCCTTCTTCCTAGAAAACCTCCAGAAACCCAGACAAACGGCCGGTTTTGAAAAGAACGGTGGTTAAAAAAAGAATGGGGAATCAACCCTTAGACCTTTCGGTTCACCTTTCCCCCACTCCGTTCCCCCCCAAAAAAACGCGAAATGTTCATCGAGGACCCCCCAAGACCCACCTCCCACAAGCAAGCACTGAATCTGTTGGATTCACGTTAGCCCCCCTCTGTTCCCCCCACCCGTATGGTGGACACTTGGGGTCTATTTTGCAACCTCCTTCTTTTAGGGTCTTGGTTTTTTAGGGTTCTTGGTTGCAAAATAGACTCTAGGTGTCCATGGCACTTCCCCCCCCCCCAAAAAAAAATCCGGCCGCGCCTGCGGATGTAGGCCGCGATCTCCTTGGGCTTCCCCACGTTGTCCACCAGAGGCAGCACCTCGCCAGATCGAACTCGGGGCAGACCGTAAAATGCAGAATCCCCAGAACCATGTAAAGACTATAGATATGTGTATATGTGTATATATATATATACATATGGATATGGGTCAAAACCAAAAGCCCGTACCCCCAGTCAGCGAACATCCGATTCAATCCAACCACTAAAATAGGAAGCCTAAAATGGGTGGTGCACCGAAAACCGCCAAAATGGGATCCCATTGGTGTTGACCCACGACCATACAAACGCGAAGGCACCCAGGGTTGGGATTCTCCCTTCACCTTCGTCTACCCGAATCGGTTTTGAGCGAGTAGCTCACGTGGCTTCCCGAACAAACCAAATTAACTGGGCGCCTTCAAACAAGGTACATGAGTGCCAAACTCTCCAAGAGGAGGTTTCCTTCGGTCTCCCTTGAAACTACACGATAAAAGATACCAAGGAAAAATAGCTATGCACTCCATGGCTTTTTTAGGACTCTTTCGATCCGATTTAGAGCCATATCAAAAGAAGCCATTGGAACTTAATACAGGGAACAACTGTTGGTAATTTTTGTCTCGAACCACGTTAGTGTGTAATCGGTCTTGGACGTGAAGGTGCAACTTGTCTCAGAGGAAAAGGGCGCGATTCTACCCTTGTTCATCCTTTCGAGGCTCAAAGCAACCCCGTTTCAGAAGACACCTGATCCTCAAGTTCAGGCCTCAACTTTCTCCTTTCTCCCCGATCCGCCCGTCCAACATGGCTACGAGCAATATGTACCCACGTGATTGTGTGTGTGTGTGCGTCTTCTAAAAGTTTAACTTTTAGTGCACATGGGTTCCATGGAACTAGCTCTAAACCCTAAAAACCTAAAAAGTTAAGGGGATGGCTGGGAGCCACCAAGGTGCGTTTGCTCCTCTAGTTCCTTCCATGCGATCGCCAAAACCATGACGCAAACGGCTCCTGTTTGGCTCCTTCACCTGAACTCCCCACCCTCTTCTCGCGGGCCAACCCCGGTTTGCGCGCCGAAAATAAAATAGGCTCAAGTGATATCCCCAACAGCGGTGCTCTTTTTCCTGCTGGGCCCGAGCGCGGCCCAGGAAGCAAACTGTTTAGTCGACCGGCGATTATGCTTAAGGCGGCACGGGGAAAAAGAGCGGCCGAGGAAGCAAACCAATCATAGCCCACCGCCGGCTTTGCTTAGGATGCCGCTTTGCCTGTACAAAAGTGACTGGGGCCCGACGGCGCAATCGAGGCCCGACCGGGGCCCGGGAGCAAACCACCAATCCAAGCCACCAATCACTGCGCACCGCCGGGTTTTGCGCAACCTTACCTCAAGACCCCCCGCGCTACCCCGCAGCCCTCGCAGAACCTTGTGGAACCCTAGTGGAACCCTGGTGGAACCCTGGTGAAACCCTGGTGGAATCCTCGTGGAATCCTCGTGGAACCTTACCTCAGGGCCGCCCCGGACCACCCCACAGCCTATCTGGGCTGAGACCCCAAAGCTTTCAGCTGTTGGGGGAAAAAAAACACTCCCCATGCTGAGCTTTCCTCAGATCCCCCCGCCAAAAGTGACCAACTTTTAGCGGGCTAAATGGAAACTAGCACCAAACACCAAACAGCTTTCAAAGCTAAGAAGGCAAACAGTTTACCTTGTAATTAGTGGAAAACCCCACACTGAACACTAAAAAGCTAAGAAGCGAAGGAACCGGATGGCTCTCAGCCACCCTTCCCGCTTGGGTCCGCGGCTTTTCTCCTGCGCCCTGGCTTCCCGCCTTCTCCAGCCACTCCGCCGCGGGGAAGCGGCTCTTCACCGCGCCCTCGTCCTTCTCCCGGAAGACCACGGGGAAGGACTTGATGCGCTCCTGACGCGACGCCGCTCGACGCGGCGGCGCGATTTGTTTGGCCTTTGGAGCTGCTTTGGACCCTCCTTGGAATTTGTTTGGACCCCCAAACATGAGGATAGGTGGCCTTTTGCGAAACATGGATGGCCCTGGTAAATGGAAGAAACCCGAAACACCTGAACCAGTGGAAGCCATCTATGTTTAATCAAAAAGGACACCCATGCGACTAAGAGAGGTCGGCCATTTTTCGGGCCTTTGGATCCCCCAAACATGGAGGAAAACAATGGTTTTTTGGCTTTTGGGTCCCCTTGAAACAACCTAAACCAGGGGTACCTGTAGAAAAAACCGAGCCCAAAATGGAGATGAATGCGAACGAGGGACCCTTTGGTGGACATCGTTTAGGCAAGGATGCATGTCCACTTTTGAGAGGGGGGGAGAATCCTATTAAACATCATAGTCTTGTCCACTCTGGAAACCCACGTGTTGGAAGCCGTTTCGAGGACTGGTGAAGTCCCAGAAAGAACAAGGAGCCGCAATCGATCCGACGGATCGACTCCAAAAAATCGCCTTTGCTTTGGCTGGTTGAAAAGGAGGACGAAGCAAAGCAAGTTAACAGGAAACTCTTTTCCAACTTTGCCTCTTGCCTTTTGGCTATCCCAAAAAACCGATGGTCCCAAACAAAATGGATCCCCCCACTCGAAAAAGCCTGGGGTCCAAATGCCAGGACCCCCTCAAACATCGAACCTCTATTCGGGCAGCAGACAGTTGGGTGTCTTTTGCTGGAGCTGGCACTCCAAATAGGAAACTGCTTTTGCAAGCGCTCCCTTTCGGGATTGCTCAGAAGACAAGCCCACTTTGTCCAGTCCGGGTCCAGGCGTCTTTGCTAGCGCCTCACCAGCATCACCTTTGTTCAACCTGGATCTGTTTTCTGGGCTGTCCGATTCGGATCCCCCGCAAGTGAACAACTTTTAGTGAGTTAAATACGGACATCCAACCACGAAAAACACTAAAAGGATCTAAGAAGCTAAGGAACCGGATTGCTGGCTTCGCCGCCAAGTTTTGAGTGCCCCCCCCCCCCCCCCCCACCCCCAAGGTTCAGCCCACCTGCCGCAGATCTCGCGGGTTGAAGGTGGCACACTGCTCAGCCGACAGGTTGAACTCCCGCTTCAGCATGCCTTGTCGCGGCGCGATGCGGCGCGTGCTTAGCACGGGAGCGGAGCTTCGTCCACGCCAAAAATGGCATGATCGCCCCCCGGCGAAACGCGGAGAAAACCGACCGCAAGATGGAAACACGGACTTGGGGCAAAAGGACTTGCCTGTGCTGAGCTTAACTTCAGTCAAAGCCACCAGAGGGGTGTTTGAAGGGCAAAAGGACTTGCCTGTGCTGGGCAGAGAACTTCCAAAAAACAAAAGCAAAAAACAAACACGGGGAGAAAACCGCCGAAAAATGCAAACACATCAATCAATCACCGAAGGCACAACAGACATGCACAGGTGACCTTTTGGCAGAATGGATGGGTTCCCCTGGTACATGGGCCTTGAAACACATCTAAACCAGTGGAACCCAGCGATTTCTCAACCGAGAAAAAGGATTCTTTTTATATACATGAAATAAGCAGGTAACATAATATGTGTAACAAATATCGGACATATGCCATCGCTTTTTCCTAGAAAGGACACCTATGCGGACGTGGAAATCCCTGAACCTCTTCAGTTCAAAGGGCTCTTCAGCACCACGCAGCTCACGATGGACAGCGCGTCCACGAAGACCTGGAGAGCGAAACGAAGAATGCCCTGGGTTGATTTGTCCAGACACGAGGGCGGGGGGTCTTTTTTGGGGGTCCCCCCCTTTTTTGGGGTCATTTTGAAGGGAAGCCGAAAGGAAAACCACCATTTTCTGGAGTCCCCAAGAAAGAAAAAAACATATAATGCCCTTGATTCCCTGTTGGAGAGGCTCTGCTGGGACATTATCTTCAACCATCCTGCTTTTCAACAGCAACCGATTTCTTATTTCTTGGCTCAGCTGCCGAAAGGACCTGTAAATGAAAGATGAATCGTTTGGGACCCTGGCTGCAAATAGAAAAAAACTTGAAAACCCCAAAATCCAAAGGTCGATTCGCCTTGGGCAAGCGAGTGGGTGTTGGTCTCCTCTGACAAAAAAGGATCCTTGAGACGTTGCTGCACAGAGGTTTTCGAGAAAGAAAGAAAAACCGCTGGGAGCCCCAAAGATATGGTCCGTCCCTCGAGCCCCTGGCTCGGCGGAAGCAACTTCGTTTCGCGGGGGGTTTCCCCCGTTTCCCCAGTTTGGGGGAGGGCCAGTGGCGCCAACGGACTGCCGAAGTCTGACGTCACCTCACCCAAATTCCTTTGAATTGCACCTCAAGCAGGGACTTCTAGAGGGCATGTTGGTCAAAAATTGGAAGGTCGAAGCCGCTGGCACGGACCCAGTGTCTCATCCGGAGACCAACCCAGGTGCTCCCCTCATGATGTTGCCTTCAGAACTCCGGTTTGCTTCACGTACTCCAACCTGGCGAGTGGCCAAAAAACATCTGCGCAGGCAGTGTCCCAACATTGCGAGACCCGGACCTCGTGTTGCATGCTTCAAGGGGAAACCAGGGAAGCAACCTGGTTCTTCCAATAGTATTACAATGGTTTCAAGTCCGCAGGCCTCAAAACGCGTGGGTTTCGAAAGCGCCTCCAACGATCAATCCGGGCACGCGCTCTCGGGCCAAGCGCTTCAAACCCGGTGCCAGCCAGACGCCCACCAAACGCAGCACACGAAACCGGGCGCCTGGTCGGGGGCCGGAGGGTTCTTCAGATCCTCGCCCTCAAAGCTGGCGAGGAGAGTTCCGGCGTGCAAACTCAGGTGGTGGTTGCACTCCTCAGAGGAGTCCAAGCCCACAACAAAGGCAGCCCAAAGCCACCTTTTCCACAGCGGCACCCCTCAAAATGACGCCCATGCATGGTGAATGTCCCTTGCCCTTAACTTCCGATCGGATTCGAGGTTCGTTTTTGGCTGTCGGCTTTTGGCCGGGTTTCGGGGCCCAGCGTTGGCAGTCTCCAAGTTGGCTCAAGTGCGTCTTAAAATGTTCGCACACCATTTTAAGAACAGCTCCACATTCGGCCCGGCTGGCTTTAGGTGTTCTGACCAAAAGACGGCGAGCAAACCTAGCGACTATTCCACTGGACTACGGTAAGCATGACTGGAGTGCCCTCCTGCATTGCCCAGCCTTCCGAGAGCTTGGGACATTTTTCGGGGAGTCTTCTTTGAAAGTCCCTTTCAACCGTAGGCAGGAAGGTACATGCTCGGTTTGCCTGGGAACTCAGGGGCTCGCCTCTGCGGGGATATCCCGAAACTTGGAGACTCCCTTCTTCTCATCTTGCTGGTAACGCACTCGTTTTGGTTGGTTTGAACCCTATCTTCAATGCATACCCGGATTAGTAACTGCAATGGATGTAGGCGAAAAGATCAGACCCAAAGGAAAGCAGCCGGATGTGCAAACTTGACAGACGCCGGGTGAGGTTGTGGCCAACCAACCAATCTGCCACGGATCCCAATGAAAGCTGCCACCGAATCAGAGCCAGGCACCAAGTGAGGCTGGTGCGGGGGATGCGGCCAATCAGCCAGGAACCAGCTTGGGAACACAAGCACTTCCCCGACTTTTTGCCCCACGGCCGCTTTTTCAAATGCACACCATCCTTCAGGCAGTAGACCACGAGTCCGCAACCGAGCCAATAGAGGAGAGACGCGCCCCCACTTCTGGTGGCTTCACTTCTTCCGATTTTCGTGCGATGCTCTGCAGGTTCTCATGAGGAGCCCCCCAATCGGATTTACTTTCCTCTTTCATATCAAGGGAACATCCATGGCTAACAGGAATGAGGCTGAAATCAAGGACCCTTTTTGCAGGAGAACAAAACGTCGGAGGGGGGGGGGGGAGGGGAAAGTTACGGTGAGCTGCTTGCTTAAACCCCGCGTTTGCCGACCTAGACGATCTTCCATGGAAGCTTCTAGGGCTCAGTCAGCTTTCCGTCAGCCATGCCTGAGATTTGGACATGTCGAACTCCAAACCTGCGCGTCACTGTCACAGGGGCGCGGGTAAAAAGAGCATGGACTGCGATATTCTTCGACTGGCTTCAGAAAAGCCAAGGCAACTCCATAGCCCAAGCCAATTTCCCTGAAAATATCCGGGTGTGGTCGGCTCAAGAGCTGCCATCTCGCAGACTCAAACCACCAACCCGAAGGGACCCCGTTGGCCGCCGAGCATCGAAGACCAGCAGCAGGGGCTCGCTCTCGAAAGCGAAGGGCAGAGCGCCCACCGCGGAGGCGATGAACCTGGAGGGCCGCGGCTTCTGGCTTTGGCTCTGCCTTTTCGGCTGGAATGCACAGCCTCTCTTGAAAAATGCTTCTGCACTACCAAGGGGGCTGCTTATTTATCCCACAAACACTGGACAAGGCAAACCATGGAGTTTCTTGGTGGCTCCTGCTCTCTTTGACTGGCAACGGTGTTGTTGTTTTTCCTGGGGCTGGTGTTCCGCAAATAAAGAAACCAGCCCTAGGAAAACAAAACACCGGATCCCTCTTTGATCCCCCAAATCAAAATACACCAAGCGTGTTTTTGTTGTTGTTCGTTCTTTTGTTCGCTCGCTGGCGTGCCTGCTTGCTTGCTTGCTTGCTTGCCTGCCTGCCTGCCTGCCTGCCTGCTTGCTTGCTTGCTTGCTTGCTTGGCGATTCTGCAAATCCAGAACCCTCCAGTGGATGCTTAGGGCCGGAAAAAATTGGGCCCGTCTCTACCTGAGAACTCCATTTTGTGTGCCAACTTAACTTGGCTTCCCTTTCAAGCCCAGGAACGGGTACCGACTCCAAGCACGCAACCACCCCCGTCTGGCAAAATCGCTATTTTGATGCTCGTTCAGTCATCTCTGAGAGCCAGCCAGCTTGCGAAACAAATTCCACAAGATAGGGTGCACCTTCCTTTTTGGAGCAGGCACCACCCATGCAACAACCACAAAACACAAAAACAACAAACACAAAAAAACAACAAACAACAAACAACCCCCCCCCCCAAAAAAAAAAAAAAAAGATGTTCCAAACAACAACAAAAACACAGACACCGCAAAACCGCAACGGTGCTCGGGGCTCCCGGCTGTGCGTAGAGCAGCTGCTGGCGTTGCCGCAGCGGCAGCTGCCCCACCTTGGCCCTGCGCGGCGTGCCCGGCCTCGGGCACGAGGAACGAGGCCGTCCGGGTTGTCCGGGGCGTGGGGCGGGGCGTCAGCCACGGAAGATCAAAACGAGCCCTGGTGGCTGTTAAAAAAAAGAAGGAAAAAAAAAACGAAAAGGAGCTAGAGGGCTCCGGGGGGTTCTTTTCTGGCTTCCCTTGACAAAAAACAAAAAGCAGCTAGAGCGGCTCTGGACTGGGTTCCTTCTGGCTTTTCCCTTGACAAACAACAAAAACGGATGAGCCGCTTGGGGGCTCGGATGGGTTTGCTGAGGGCTTCCCGATTTTCAGGAACAAGGGGCTCAAATCCATCCAAGCGGGGGGGCCAAGCAAGTTTCGGACACCACCACGCCACGCCAAGGCCCTTGGAAGATGAGACCCAGGTAGGGCGCTGCCCATTCGAAAGAAAAACCCTCCCTTTTGTGGGGGGAGCGAAAGGAAGCCATGAACCCGCAAGGTGGGTATGTCCTTGTTTCCAAGCGTCCAGGAAGTGTAGGTTCCGGGGCCTTTTCAAGATGATCATCCAAAGCCCTTCTCAGCCTTGACGATTGGAAAGACGGCCCAGGATTGGTCCAGCCTGTGTGTGTGTTTTCTTTTGAGGGTGTCCTTGTGTAGGTTAGTTCAAAGCAACACCGCAAACAAACCAATCAATTTTGCAGGGATCCTTACATTATACACGTGAACATTGCCTTGCAAATGGTGTTGTGTCCAGCTTTATTTTGGTGTTGAAAAAGCAGCATGTTTCAAATGGAAAGGCAAAATGAAATTCTTTTAAGGAGCCCCGTCGAAAAACCCAACTTTCCGCTTCCCTCGATAAAGGAGGGGGAAACCCCATCTGCCCTCTACAAGAACCAGGGGTTCAAATCCAAACCACTGTTGCCAGAAACCCGCATCTTTCCTGGGTCCGAACTGGGCCGGTGGCGCTCGCCGGCTTTCCGACTCTTCGTCCACCACCTCACGCGGAGATCCGGATGGCCATGAGCCGGCTGACTGGGTGGTGCTGTTCTCTTTATCGGGCGGGTCCCGTCGATTTGGCGCAAAAAACCATCGTGAGCTGCGTGGTGCTGAGCCCTTTGAATGAAGAGAGAAAAGGGATTTCCATGTCCTCATAGGTGTCCTTAGGTTAGTTTGGATAGAAATGGCTGTGGCTCGCAAAACCAAAATGGTACCAAAATGGCTTGCCCGATCGGTAAGTGGAAAAATGGAAACCAAAACCTGCGGTTTGCCCCTCCGAGCGTTGAATTTCAAGCCACACCCATTTGACAGGAGCCACAAGATGTCCCTTTGAAAACTCGGTTGCGAAATCTACTCCCCTGCTAAAAGCGACTAACTGTTAGTAGTTTAATACGGAACACCCATTAGTTGGCCAAAGTTAAAGTCCGAACATCCAAGCAAAATGCACCTCTGAAAAGTTGCAACTGACTGGTGGATTCCAAATGCAGTCTTTGGAGGTCCGAAAAGGTGAAACTGAGAAGCCACTGTTTCAGTGTCCCAGACAAAAGAACGGCCATTGAGCCCCGAACAGAAGTCGGGATGTTTTCCTGGTTTTTGTAGTAAAGGTCGGGGTAGTGCCCCATCCCCTCCCCTCTCACCAGAGCGGAAACCTAGGATCCATGAATTTGATTTGCGTCGGCGCGGTTGAAGAACTTGCTGCGTGCACCCTTTGCCTTCCCCGTCAAAGAGCGCAATGAGCCGACAAAGCCTCTAGGCGAAGAGGCTGCATTGTGATGTGCGTATCAACACAGGCACACAGGCACACACAAACACAGACACAAGACACACAGACACACAGACACACAGACACACAGACACACAGACACACAGACACACAGACACACAGACACACAGACACACAGACACACAGACACACAGACACACAGACACACAGACACACACACACACACACACACACACAGAGAGAGAGACGCAGACACGCACAAACGCAAACAGAGAGAGAGAGAGAGAAAGCTAGGTAGATATACATACATATATATATATATATACATATATATGTATATCCATAGATGGATAGATAGATAGATGGATAGACAGCGGGAGAGAGGGAGGGAGACACGCATGCACTCGCCGCACGCAGGCATGCACGCGCGTTCTCGCACGCACTCGCATGCACTCGCACACATGCACGTGCTCGCACACGCTCGCCCACGACTGGGAGCAAACGGCGGGAAGGTACAAGTAAAGGCTAGGCCGTCCCGCGGTCACCCAATGAAAACCACCCGAAGATTCCGAAATTGGAGTGGTACACACGTAGGCTCCCAACAAAGCCAATCAATATCAAGTAACATATCTAGTATCAGGCATGCAGATGCAAAGTCGGGTGCTGTCAAGTCGAGATGGTTTCCCTCTAGCTACTTTAACAGGGGCAAAGCAAACAACAGCGCTTCAGGGAGGACCAAATGGATCTTCAGCGCTTTCGGCCAAATTTCCATAGCTTTGTTTGGCACGGCTAGGAAAATGGCTGCCATGCCCCCTGCTGCTGCACATAGACGCACACAAATGTTCACACACACACACACAGAGACACACGATCCACGGTGAATATTCGCCAAACACATATGTTCGCCTTCTTCTTAGTGATAGCACCAACACTGTTGATGCAAATTACAACAAAGTCTGCTTAAACATGGGATACAAACATGCAAATCCGCTTCATGGTAAGTCTTCTGATCTGGCCTGGCCGTGGGTCAAAAATATGGTCACCCCAAAATGGAACAAGCCCTGGTAAGTGGAAAAACGTGTACAAAAAAACCTGCGGTCCAATTCCTGGTTTAAAAATAGGTACACCAAATGGCTTGCCCTGGTAAATGGAGCCAAGGACTAATTAAAACCTGCAGCCCGGTTTAACTTTGAGCCATAGCCGCCTAACCTGCCTGAGGCCCCCAGCCCCCAGCGCCGCCAGCTCCGCAAAGCGCTCCTAGACGCGGGCCGAGCGCGAGATCGGTGGCGCGCGAGGCGCGAGCCGGTGGCGCGAGTCGATGGCGCATCAACACTTACCCCTTAAAACTCCAAGCCCTGGGGAAGTTTTCATCTTTTAGAGACATATAGCCCATGTTACCCAAAAATTTGGAAGTTTTTTTTTAAAAAAAAAAAAAAGAGGTAAGAACAGGGATCCTAAGACATGTTGCATCGTCGGTTTTCCGACTCCTCCACCTCAGCATCCAAATGGCCATGAGCTGACTGGCTGATCCTTACACCTGAACATTGCAACTTGTAAATGGTGGTGTCCGCTTTTTCTGGTGTTGAAAAAGCCACATGTTTCAAATGGGCAAAGTGTATCTTTTAAGGAGCCCTGATCAAGTCTAAGCGGAGCCAAGTGGGTATACAAAATGGGGTTTCCTGGCCATGGCTTTGTTGCTGACCCCTCTGCAAAAAGTGAATTACTTTTTGTGGGTTTGGTGCCAAAACCCCTTCATTTCCCAAAAAGTTAAAGTCCAAAGAGATCCAACTAAGAGCAGTCAAGATGGGCTCACTCCAAACTTGTCTTGTATTTGCTTCTTCGTGGTGCAACAAGCGCTGGCTGATGGGGCTCTTACTATCTTCCCCGCAAAGAACGCTGCCGCCCCCGGGCTCTCACTCCCCAGACCGGCCACTTGCCCGCTTTTGACCCCTTTGCCTTTGCAGTTGGGGAAAAACATGTACCAAGAGGCTCCCGGGATTTGGCACCTGGGAAAAGATCCTTCCGTGTCCTTCCGGAAGAACAAAAAAGGATGGACACGGTCAACGCTCTTGGGACTTGCTTGGCAAGCAGGCGTGGGGGCAAACAAGGAAGGGGCGACGAGGGGGGGAACTCTACATTTCCCAAAGAATGAAGATTCAAACTCCAAACAAAGCTTGGTTGATGTTGGAAGGGGAGCACAAATCTGAATTTTAGCAGTTAAGTGGGGATTTCCCACTAAACCACAATAAGCAAAAATGTAAAATGTGTCCCAACAACAACCAAGAAAAAGCCACGAATCAAAGCCCCTGAAAATCATGGCGCCAACACGTTGACCGCAGCCTCAACTCCTACAACCATGGCGCTTTGGGCTCAAACACCAAGCAAGAGATGCACAAAAGCAGGCTCATGCTCCCTTTTCAGGGATCCTTACATGAAAAACACCTGAACATTGCCTTGCAAATGGTGGTTCCCTTTATTTTGGTGTTGAAAAAACCAGTTTCAAATGGTTGCAAAATGTATCTTTTAGGGAGCCCTGCTTTTTTTGCAAGAATCCCCCCCCCCCCCGATTGGGAAGGCTCCGTGTCTGTCATGGTTGAACACGCAAAACGGGCGGTGTTCAACTCGAGCTTCTGTTGAAAACAGGTGCAAAGGTAAGAAAGGGCCCACCCATTTCATGATTCCCCTGCCTTCTCAAGCACCAACAATCAGGGAGGTGCATGTTGACATTAGACCTTTGACCGCTTCTCCAAGATGGAACCACCAACCAGTCCAACCAGTCCAACCAGTCCAACCAGTCCAACCAGTCCAAACTGGTGTAATGAGATCCACTGGCCACAAGGGCTTTGGCAAACAAGCTTAGGATGATGTTGTCCGGCACCAAGTTTGGACCAAATCAGCTGCGCATGGGAGCTGATCACGGGTGAAATCACTTGACCCCTCGTACTCAGGGTTCCACTTTTTGACAACCCCCACACCCCAAAAAGGGAACCCCTGGGTTTAACTCTATTTGGTGGTCAAAAAATAGAACCCTGCTCGTACTACTCCTCAAATGAATGCACAGAACCCCGCAACGGCGTTCTTGATAATCCACCCGTGTCTCAAAGTGATGCTGGTTGTTTCGCGCCCTGTTCGTGGAGACCATCGAACTTCGCTTTTTCCCCGCGGTTCCCTAAAGATTGCCATCCAATCCCAAAAACCAGGTGTGAAATTGCTTGGAGCCTCCTTGGACATCATGTAGGTGTCTGATTCATGTCCACCAAGTTTGAGCTGGACCTTTTACTTTCAAAATATGGCCACCCAAACCCTCCCGGACCCTGTCCGACCCCCAGATGAAACCCAGCCCAAATCCAGGGACCTCCCAAAAGTTGTTCTTTAATTTAACCAAAAGGTTCTCTTCGCCTCCGAAAAGGGAGGAGGAGCCTAAGCTCTTCGCCCACGGAGACGTCGCCTGGAGACCGCCTGGCCTTTTGCGAAAAATCGATGGGTTCCCCTGGTAAATGGAAGAAACCCCACATAAACCAGTGAGAACCCATCTATTTTTCATCAACCTAACCTACAAAGGACACCTATGCTCCTTCGCCCCCTCCTCTCGAACCTCTCGCCTCGAAGCGCCCGAAGTTGAGCTTCTGCATCTGCTGCAGCGCCTTCCGCAGGAAGCTGTCCCGGATCGCCTTCCTCGGACGCCGCTCGGAGCCGGAAGCGGAGAGTTCGGTCGGACTCGGGCGGTTTTTTTGGTCGAGCGGAACGCCGGGGGGGGGGGTGCCCCAAAAAGAAATCAACTCCCTGCGGGAGTGGAAGCTCTTCCCCTCGAAACTCGAACCAAAAAAAAAGACGATTCGCGCCAACTCCCCAAAAAAAAAAGAGACTCCATGTATATACATCTTCGCCCCCTTTTTCCTCACGTCTTTCTCTTTACGCCCTCGGTCACACGGGGTCCTCCCCGTCTAAAAAAACCGCCGTGCTCCCCGACGAGTCCCCCCACGCCCCGCGCCAGCGAGCGCTCCGCGCTCCGGGCTTCGAGTCCGGGGCGCTGCTTGCGGAAGCGCTCGGCGTAGACGTCCCCGAGGCCCGCCAGCTGCTGAGGCGCCAGCGCCTGCGAGGCCCGCGGCGTTTCTGGGGTCCCCTGGTTTCAGGGGCTGCGGTGGAAATGGGGATTCGAAAATCGGACAGGAATTGGACCACACCCAAATGGAATCCACGAATCTGTGGTACAAAAAGGGGCCTCCAATCTCAAGGGGGAGATTCCAACTTATATCACCGAAGTGGTTGGATAAACCCGGAGTGATCAACCACAACCCTGCTTCAATCCGTTTGGACATCTTCAGGATGCCGTGAGACCCTGGATTATTTTTTTCTGTACTGCCTCCAAAAGGTGGAGCAACCGGGGGTTTCATCAGCTCGCGGAGCTCAAATTGGACCCCGAAAAGAGGCCGAAGGAAGCAAAGGAAACCACAACCCGCTTAGAGGTCCGGGCAAATGCATGAGCAACAAATGGCTGTGGCTCAAACACATGTACCAAAATGCCGCCCTTGGCAAATGGAACCAAAGACGAAAACCTGCGGTTTGCCCTAGCTCTCTAAGTTTGAGCCACAGCCAAATGTCAATACCCATGAACGTGCAAGTCGTACTTGTGTGGAGCCAAAAAGGCAAGCCGAATACCGGAGCAGCGCCAAGGGTCGTGCCCCGGCCCCCACTTGACTTACGTGACCGCGGAAAAGAGAAGCATCCGCAAAGGTGAAGTGGGCCTTGGAGATTCATATGCTGCATGGCTTTCAGGAGTCAGCTAGTCTTATGTTCCGTATGCCTTGCAATTGTCGTGCCGACTTTCGATGAGGCCAGCTCGAGTGGACATCTTTCCAAGATCTCGCCTTGTCCGGTGTCGCGATTGACACCTTGCCTTGGCGATGACTACGTATGTGGTTTAGATTCCATGTCTGGTTGATGCACTAACTTATATGAACTTATATGGTCACTGTGCGCTCACAACTATGAAAAATCGATGAGTGGGGCAAGCAACCGCTCACGCCCTGCAGTACGTCCACGGGGATGTATGCAGGGAATCTCTCAAGCAACTCGACTCACGCAAGCGAAGTGCCATGCGGACTCTCGGTTGGATTCTGCTTTAACTTTTAGGGGGTTAATGGAAAACCCATCAGTTGGATCAAAAAGTTAAAGTCCTAACATCCCTTGGCAAAATGCAACAAAGGTGACTCACCTGAAGCAGGCACTCAACTGAGCCAGCCACATGTGTCATGGTCAAACCACCTTGCGGTTGCTAGGCCTTCACCAGTATTCATTGTGCGCTGACATTAGTTTACTTCGTGAATCCGCAGGTTCTTATGGCTTGGCAAGTGCGCCCAAATCGTTAAAACATGCGAAACAAGTGATGGATGGCTCCACCTTCATCAAGGCATGTGAGCAAAGAGCGGTAGAGCCTTTTCAAAATCAAGGTTTAATGTAATTCCAGGAATACTACTTATATTGGAAAACTGTATAACATCTTCTCATTTTCGTAGATTCACCCCTTCCACCCTTTCGACCGACGGATCTCGCACGGTCGCCAAGGCCTCCCCCAGGTGCACGGGGGTGCCGCAGAGCAGCGCCAGGAAGGCTTCCCGGAAGGCCTCGTCCAGGCGGTTCAGCAGCCTCGGCGCGAGAGGCGGCTGAGAAATGGAACGACCCCAGACCGCCGGGTCCCCCGTTTCGTTTCAACCGTTTGCAGGGACCATCTCCTCCCGCTCGTCAGGCTCCGGCCGTGAAACGGGAAAGTCCCAAAAATCGAGTCTGCCAGCCAGGCGGCAGGTTCGGCCTGAGCTCCAGCATCTCCTTGAGCATCACGGTCGCCGGCTCGGACAAGCGCACATCCCCCGCAAAGGCGAGCGCGAAGACCTGGCGCTCGGGGAATAGGGTGCGGGGAATGGAGGGGGAGGTCGATCTTTTTCTGAGTTCATACCCCCTTTTTTGGTGTTTTCAATTGGAAACCAAAGAAAAAACGCGGGGGGGTCTTTCTTTTTTGGAGTCGCGATGGCCTTTGCAAACACTTTGTCTTTGACCAACGGCGCCGTTGGCCCGAAAACATCATGAGCTTCGCTCGTACCGGTGCGGCTCTGCAAGTCCACCCGCGGTGACACCATATTCGCCCAGTGGGCCGCTGCTCGTTGTGGGTAGCATGTACCCAGATAGATAACCCACCGCCCACAGTCTTTAGATACGTCGCTTGTCGCAAACAGGTGTGAAAACATCCAGGGCGATCACTCCAAAAAATAAAACTCCACCTTCTCGGAGCACTCTTTGTCCCAAGTGCGCCGCTTGCTTCAAAGTCCACATATGCTTCGGCTCGTGTAATTTGGTCATGTGCATCCTCCGATCCATTTTCTTGATTGGTCACACGCCTCCCAAGGCACCGGCGGTCGATCCTTCAACATGCCATGATCGTCAAGCCATCCCATCAGCGGCACATCTCGTGCAGTTGGAGAATAGAGGCCGTTATACGTGGGCGTGTCTCCAAGTAGCTGGCGGATCACAGGGTCGCGGATGTGCGCCAGTACTCTGTCAGTGGCCATGGAATCCTTTGGGCGCATCCATCGTTGGCCAAAGCCGTAGAAGAGAACCTTGCGCGAGCGCGGGTACGGCTGCTCGCCTAGCGGTCCCGCGTGCCACAGCCGGCGATCGATGATCACGACAGAGCCCGCTGGCACCGGGATGCGCTTGGCCCCTGGCGGCTGCTCTGTCGCTCCGAGGTGCACGTTTGGCATCGAGTTGTTCAGGTGGCTGCCTGGAAAAGAAAAAAAATACAAATTTCCAGTAGTGAAATCGAATCCCTTTAAAACCAACAGGGGAAAATTAATATATAGATATATATATATATAATATTTATTTCAGCAAATGGAAGTTTGGCATCGAGTTGTTCAGGTGGCTGCCTGGCACCGCCCAAAAGTGCGGCGCGCCGGGCTGCGTGGTATCAGTCAGGAAGTAGCTCACCTTCACCGAGAGACGAGGACGGGGATCGCCCTCCACCTGGAATTAGGACCCCAGCGAAAAAACACAGTTTTTGCCTGGTTAGTGGAAAACAACGGGGAAAAAGCAAAAAGCACAAATCAAAAAGGGCTGGAACAGGGATCCTTACATTATACAACTGAACATTGCCTTGTAAATGGTGGTGTCCCTTTATTTTGGTGGTTTCAAGCCATGTTTCAAATGGTTGCAAAATGTATCTGTTAAGGAGCCCTCTAAAATTAAAAAATATACCCCAAAAAAGCAAAAATCAGAAAGGGGAACTCATTCTGGGGAAGCCACATCCTCATTCACGCGGCCAGAGTCTTGGTGCCAATGGTCACCCAGCGGTTCCATCAACATGCTGCCCGGCGAGCCGGACACGGCGCGGGTGAACATCGCATGTGCATGGTAGCAGTAGATGTTCCATCCCAAGATTCCCACAACCTTGCCGAAGACCTTGGGGTGATACAGCATTCGAACCAGCGCCGCATGCCAAAATGGGGTGTCATGGCGCTGGTCGAAGATCATGCCGTGCCAGGTACTGCCCTCTGCCACCCCGCCCATGGAGTCGGACCACTCGTCCATCGCGTCGCTCAATGAAGCGACGTCGTTGTGTGACAGGACCTGAGTTAAAACCAGAAAGCCATCAGCCTCAAATTGAGCCCTCTCCGCTGACGAGAGAGTATGGTCAACCACGGCTTCATCCATCGCGAGTGAAGCCAGAATCCCTTGCGAGGACCGCCTGCGTGAGAAGACATGCAAGCCGATGAACGTGCAAACGCCAGCGAGCGCCAGGAGCTTGCGATCGGGCGCCATGCCGTGCGAGGCTTCAGAGCCGACGCTGGCGTCGCGGCCGTTGTGACCCAAAAAAGGAGAGCCACCGTGTGGTTTTTGGGAAGCCCAAAGGCCCAAAGCCCATGCGGTCGCTGGAATCCTGAGTCAACGATGGTATGGATCCCTGTCCCCAAAGTAGAAAGGACCCTTCATGGGCCCGAGGGCTTCCGAAGATCTGGACGACCGGCTTTTCTTGCTCAGCCAAAGCTTCTCTTTTCTTGCGGGTGCGATAGGTAGGGAATGACCGAGTACGCGTGTTGGGAATGAACCTAGGGCTTCCCTTAAAGGAAACCATGGGGATGGTTAGTAGGGTCATTCCAACTCCTTCCCTGCTCAGAACCAGCAAGTTGCATCCTGCGTTTTCACATTGCCGGGAAAGCACAAAATGGCTGGGCCAAGGTGACTTGTCCAGGACTGCCAAAGAAATCCTTCAAACCAATCCACCCATGCTGGAACTCTGAAACCTAGTTGATTTCCTTTTCGGTTTCCATTCAGAAACTCCCAAATGGGCATGCCCCGTTCAACGCCCAGCTCACCCCCCCCCCCAAATCTACGTGCACTCGTGCATTTGCGGAGCTTTTCAGGCTAAGGGACTTGAGTGGGGGTCCATTTCAGGAGTTGGTCTTCCGCCCACAAATTGGTGTCACAAAGTGCCCTACAGATAAACATGGAACACAAAGCACCCTCAGTCCTGGAGGAATCGCATTCCTTTGCAGGTGGCAAGTGAGCTGTGGTCAAAATGTGGATGAAATGACGTGGTTGTGGCTGAAATCTATGTCCCTCTCAAATCGAGCATAGACAAAACAGGACATCTTGAACGCACCTCACGTTAATGTGCAGGGGAGTGAGCCGAACAAACTCATCAACACAACAAAGCGGCCCCTTTACCAAAGAGGAGTGTGAACGCGCTCCTGATTACTCGAAAGGTGTCACTTTGAGACACTCAGGACGGATTTCCGCAGTAATCTTCCCATTTCTTGGGAGTCCCAAACAAGCTCCTTCGGTTCCTTGGATTTCCGGTCTTCGATTCATTCCGCAGGCTCACCAGGCAATTGGGTTCAGCCATCCGCGCCTTTGGCAGCACCGCCATAGGGTTCACCAGGCCCTGCTGGTGCAGGTGCCGTACCACCGCCAGGGCCTCCACCCGCACACGCAGCACCCCCTCCGCGCGATCCTCTGGAGCCGCCGTGGGCTCCTGGAGACGTGAAGACGGGAGCACAATCCGAAAAAGAAAAGAAAGGAAAACAACCTCTACATCTAGGTCCTCCAGTAGAGAGGTTCGACCAAGGGCACCAACTTTTTGCTGTAGTCTGTTTTAGTAGGGGAACCCTCACAATCCCAGAAAGAAAAGAAAGGACCTGAATCGCCAGTTGCGATCGCTTTTTTCCATGAACTTTACACCAAAAACCAGCAACAGTGACTGAAAGAAGCAGCAACTTGGCGATCTAGGGAACATAACCTCCGTCGTCACCCAAGTTCGAATTTAGAGTCCCTATCGTCTTCCAGCGTTTGGTCTGCAGCACAAAGTTATCGTCTTTTTGAGAGTCCCCTATCGTTTTCCATGGTTTCAAGCACCCTGAGCTGTATGGATCTCCAAGTGTAGACTACTTTCCGTTAAATTCTGACCGCGCAGGTCTTGGTCTCGGAGAAACTCAAACATGATTCGGCGGGTCCCAACCAAAACCAGTGAATTCCCTAGCCCCAGAATTGGCTGTGGCTCAAAAAAGTGGGTTTCCCAAAATGGCACCACAAGGTAAATGGAACCAAAGACTAAAACCCGCGGTTGGCCCCAGCTCTTGAAAATTTTGAGCCATACCCCAACTAGCACGAGAAACGCTTCTCATTTCGCTGGGCCCGTGCAGCCCTCCTCATAGCTGGCCTTTCGGCGGGTGTCCCATCTAAACCCTTGGAAATGACCCTCCAAAGTGGTAATTACCCGCGAATTTTGAGAAAAAGACCCATCTAAACCAGCGGAAAACTATTTCCATCCAAACGAACCAAGACAAAAACGGCCAGCAAATGGACAATCAAGGGAAAATGAAGAGAAAATGAAGGGAAAACCAAGGGAAACCCAACAAACAGCCACGGCATCTCCTGCGTGGGCGTGGGCGGGGTGGGTGGAGCCACCGAGGCCGACCGCTTCCGCGACTTCTTGGGCTTGGCGGCCGGGCCCACGGAGCCGCTGAGGCTGATGTGCGCCAAGGCCTGCGGTTTTCATTTGGTCCGGTATTGTTTTGTTATGTTAGTTTGCGTGGTAAATGGCTCATGTTTTTGCATTATCCCAAATAAAGGGGATGGGTACTCATTCAATTTGTCCAGACCCTCCTATTTGGAACCCTTTTAGCCCATGTTTCTAGGGGTAACTTCCATTTCCATTCTTAACCCAGGGATCCGGATCTTTCTAGAAAACCACCAAAAACCCTGGTTGGAAATGGCGATCGGTTTTTGAAAAGAACGATGGCTGCAATGAATGGACAAGGAATCAACCCCTAGTGTTGGTTTCCTTTTACATCCCAGCAAGGGGGGTACCCTCAAGAAAGAAAGGACACCCCCAGGTAGAGTTGAGCGGAAAGGTTCTGAGTTTTGAGGGGTTTGGACTCGTTCAGGCTTTTTGGGTGTAGGTTGGGCTGAAGGGGGCGAGAAACGAGCGAAAAAGGCCAATACCGCTGGGTGATGGGGGTTTGAGGCATCATCTGCAATAGCCCTGATGATGGTTGCATCATAGATGGTGTCAACTAAAGTTGTACGTCTTTTGTGGGGCACCCCATTTTGGCTGGTTTTAAGGGAAAACAAAGGAGACCCATCCTCCCCCACCCCTTCCCCCAAAACAGATCCTAGTCCTTTGCGGGGTAGGGAGAGGGGTGGGCTGGGCCTCATGGTACGCAGATCGGACCATGGCATTGCCTTTTTGACCTTACACAGAGAATCATAGAAAAATGTTCGGGCCTAAAATCGGACCACCTCCACGCCTTGTGTCAGAAAACAAAAAAACAACTGGGGGGGGGGCCTAAAATCGCACCGCCTCCACACCTTGTGTCAGAAAAACTGGGGGGCCTAAAATCGGACCACCTCCACGCCTTGTTGTTTTTGGTCTAAAGGCCAGGGCATTTTGTTCCCCTGACCGCCGCGCGCTCCGCGCGCTCGGTTCGGCGCCTGGTCGGCGAAGGCGGCCAAGGGCTGGGCGGCCTCGATGGCGCTGTTGGTGGTGGTCTCCTAAAGCTCAGCGCAGCTTCCCTCGAGAGGAGCCCTGAGAGAACCAGGTTCCGGGATCGCCAGTGGCTGTTTTCTCGTTTTTGTGGTTCTTTTTTTTGCCATGCACTTCATCCCGAAAAACCAACAGTGACAGAAAAAAGCGATCGCAACTTGGCTATCCAGGTTCTCTCTCAATTCCCTTGAAGCTTGGCAGACCCATATCACCGGCCAAGTGAGCCAGGTGCTCCCTGGATTCCCTGGATTGGACACAGACCTGGGTGCCCTTTTGAGACAGAAACAGCACCAGCCCCCAGAGCCAAGCCTCAGCTTTTGGCTCTGAGGTTCCAGGCTTGGGGATCCTTCGGACCGGGAACATGTTCCTATTTGAGGAAGGGACCGGGAAAATGTTCTTATAGGAAGCTCTCGAGCCGTGGGGAAAGAGCCAAAGCCGAAAGAAGTATTCTGGACTAAAAAAGGAAACCTGATCCAAAAGCGAAATGGGGTCAAGGGAAATGCTCCAAGAGGTGAAACCCTGTCTTAGGAACCATATCCACACGCCCAAACTTGGAGATGCCCATTTGGGGGGGCGTAAGTTTTTCTTGCGAAGCCACTTGGCAATCGCCAAAGTGCGCCTAATGGCGCCCTTTTGGTTTCCCTTAAACAACCCCCATCGGTCAAACTGGAGGCCCAATTTTTCAGCGGCACAAGCCACAAGCGGTGTTTTTTTGTTTTTCTCGGTGGTGTCCCTTTCAGCCCGCAAGGAGCAGTACTCCAAACCACCCGCGCCCAAAACCATCATCGAAGCGGATCCAAGCCGAAGGGTCCTTGGACTTCCCCGCCACTCGATGGTCCCGGCTGTCCGCAAAGTCTACCGCCCCCGCCTTCGGGGTTCGAAACCCGAACACGTCGCACGGCAGGAGGTTTCTCTCTGGTGGATTCGAAGGAATTGAGTCCTTGTCAAAAGGAAAAGATGGGTGAGGAGAATGGGCAAAATCAATCCTCTTCACCCATCTTTTCTCGAAAACCCATCTTACATTCCATTTTCAGACATTGTCTGAGGGGAATCCTTGATCCGAAAGGGCGGGGCGGCTCGTGTAAAGAGTGTTGCTATGTTATTCTCGTTCTACCCGAATCACTGGAATACCCAAATGCAAAAAACAAAGAAAGGGTGACGAATTGGCCAATATCAACATGAGAACATTCAGCTACATTTAGTGCAGCCAAACCAAGAAGGCAACAGCCTACCTAAAACGAGCGTGACCCCTTTGAAGTCTCTTCGTTGATTGATTTTTCATTTTGGTGTGGGTGGTCTCAGATTTGATGACCATGTGTGACCTGCTTCAACGGCTGTCTCCCCTGGTTCCCCACCCCCCCCCCCCCCCCCGGTTTGGGGGGCAAGCAGGGGGTGGCGGGGGGGCCTCCAGATTTTGGAAGTTGGTCCAGGGCCCGTCCGGCAGAGCCAGGGAGCAGCAACTTCGGAAAACACAAGAGCTATAGCTCAATATCCCTCTTTCTCTTGCTCTTTCTCCTTCTCCTTCTCTTTTTGTTCATCTCTCTCTCTCTGTCTCTCTCTTTCTTTCTTTCTTTCTTTCTTTCTTTCTTTCTGGCTCTCCCTTACTCTTCCTCTTCCTCTTCCTCTTCCTCTTCCTCTTCCTCTTCCTCTTCCTCTTCCTCTTCCTCTTTCTGATTCACTTATATTTATCTTCCTCAAAAAGGTCATTTTGAAAGTCGACCCACCGAAAATCCGCAGATGGTTCACCTTTTGGTGCTTGCGCAACCCAAGAAACTCTTAAAACAAAAAGCACTTGGAGGCCTGCACACGCAAAAAAAGTCTGCAGAGAGTTGCGCGAGCGAAGCGAAGATCATATACTAGGTCCTCCAGTACAGAGGGTAGAATTAGTTGGTACCCGATTTGTTCAGTCTACTGTAGGGGAACCCTCCCCAAAAAAAGAAACGGTAAAAGGGCATGACCTACCCAAAGTGTGCAGAAGGTTCACCCATTGAAGGCTGCAAAGCAGTGCGCGCGACCATGCCCGACACCATGTCTGCACAGGCAGCGCGACTGTGGTCTGCGCACATGCGGAAGACGCACCGGGCCCAATTCTCAGCTTCTATTCCCCAGTTCCCGCATTTTCCAGCTTTGTCGTAGCTTCTTCACGCACAGCGTCTCTAATCTCAAAGATCGCCTGCAGGTGCTTGCAGGCATAGAGCAAGCTAGCTCAATTAGCTTCCCCTTCTGTGGCCCAGCCCAAAACCGTGCTTACTCTCAGTCTTTAGGCGCAAATAAAGCCAAAAAACACCACTGAAGTGGTCCTGAAACCAACCTGAAAAAGGAAACGACCAATATAAGCCTTGTTCACCTTCGGTGAACGGCCTTTCCGCGCGGGAGGGGGAAAAATGGGCACCGCCACACCAGCGATTGGTCTGAACATGTAAGTCACTCCTCGGAAAGAAGGGCCGCAAACAACTCGGAAACACTGGCCGGAGCCGGAATAACTTGCCAGGAAAACACGTGTGTTTGTGCAATGTTGACGCATTTTGTGTTTGCGCCTGGAAGGGTTTCTGCGGTAGCCCCAAGAGTCCCCAAAAGTCTACCCAGCAGTCCCCTAAAAGTCCGTCTGTACAGCCCCCAACAAAAGTCCGTCCCCCAAAACTTCCCCCAACTCCCCCAAAATCCTTTTTAAAAAAAAAGGCACGAAACCACCCACCGCTGCCACAACCCCCCCCCCCCCCAATTTCCCCGGCGCCTTGGACTCCTTGTCCGCCTCCACCCGGAAATGCCCCAGCAGCGCGCTCAATGTCTCCAAGCCTTTCCGGCAGAGCAGCAGGTCCCCGCTGCTCAGGGACCCCGCCAGCAGCTCCGAGATCCGCTTGTCCTGGAAACCAAATCCCCGACTCCACCAACGCAAGCCACGCCGTTGGCCATAGTTTGGTCTTTCAAATCCCCTTGAAAAACCTCCCACGTCAGGCACGAGAGGGGTGAGTTCCGTTGCTTGGAAATCAACCGGAAAACCACGAAAGGAAGCCACGTTGGTTGCTAAGATAGTTTGTTTTGATACCGAAAAGTGTTTTTGCTTGATTGCTAAAAAAGGGTGTTGTTTGATGGTCATCGCGAACCAGGCGGAAACCATGACGTTGCCTGGTATCGAATCAGAACCAGGGGTTCTTAGGTCAGGAGTTCGTCCATCCACAAAAGCCCAGCTTGGTGGAAGTGATTTAGGTGAAGAGTCATGTCCAACCACTTACACCGGTAAAGGAAAAAGCATGAAATCCCGAAAGGAAACATCCCCCCACGAACAGCGGGCGATTTGAGGACCCTGGAATGTCCGTGTCGACCCAGGATTCATAAACCTTGGGCTTAATGTCTTCAGTTTTGGGAGGACACAATCCCCTGAATCCGGGGTCGACATCATTGTTCCTGCAACCGACAAACGTGGTTGGCGTACAGCTCCCCTTTGGATGAAAACCATCTTCCACCACAAGCCTATGCACTTCCAGAAAGAGGTGGGAGAGCAACACAAAAAGAGGCAAAGTTCGGGGTGCAAGCTCTTCCCATCGACAGACATTCTATGTATACAGGCCACGGATGCGCCCTTGCGCCCGTTTGAACAAACCGTTGGTGCTAACCCAAAAACTTTTGGGGTGTATGAGCGGGCATGAAAGGATACATGTTTGGGGCATTTACCCCAGGGGCAATATATAAAGTATGAGTGTATGTGTGTGGTATGCATCAGCACTACCTACGGGGTATGTGGTTGATCCAATACATACTGTGGATGGACGAAATCCTGTACCACCCAAGAAACCCAGGAATAATGATTCCCCTGTAAATGCGAACAAACGTTATGGTTTCCCATGGTTTCCAAGTGGTGCGAAATGGATTTCGCAACCATCCACAGTAGGTTGCTGCTTGCCTACAAAGTGTGCTATTCTGGACCGTGTTTTGCATGCGGTCCATGAAGCCCCGGCAACCAGGATGGCCGAGCCCCCCAATCGAAAGATCCATGGCTTTGCCTCTGGGATTTTTCTGGGCTGACAAGTGCTTGGCAACCATGGCTGCATGGTGCTGCAAGGGATTTTTTCCGCCGAATCCCCCAACCCTCCACCCTCCCAACCTCCCAACTTCCCAACCTCCCAACCTCCCAACCTCCCAACCTCCCAACCTCCCAACCCCAACCAAGTCGGAGTCCAGTCCCGCAACCCACATGCCCCAACCAACCTTCCCCAGTCTCACTTTCCTATCCGAAACCTCCCACCAGCAAATCATGCAGACACCCGGACAGGTTTGGCAGACTACTTTCCTCTGTACTTGCAATTGCTGAAAGGGGTAAACCTCCCAACCAACCCCCTACTCCACCTAAACCTCCCCCAAATCCTCCAGCAGCGAGGTTGGAATAAGGGGAACCCCAAAAAAAAGAAACGGTAAAAGGGCACCTAGCTGCGGTCCAATCCGTCCCACCCAACCCAAACCTCCCACTCCCCACCTGGAAAACCCACCGCTTTGGCCTTGGAGAATTGGCCACGGCTCCTTGGTGAAGCTGCGCTGGCCCTTCAGGAAGAAGCCCATGCAGGAGGCCGCCACCGCACGCAGCTGCGCGCCACCCAGGCCGTACATCCTCCCAACGTGTGGCTGGCGGGCGGATTTTTTTTTCAGACGTCGCGTGATGTGAGCTATACTCAAAACCCCCCTTTCGATAGGCGTCCTTTTAGGGGAAATACATGGGTTTCCTGGTAGATGGGCCTGGAAATAGATGGCCCTCGACTTTTTTCAGACGTCCCATGACGTCCATTTGGTTAAGACCCCTGGAAAAAATTAGAAAAATTGTCCAGTAGTGAAGTCGATTCCCTTTAAAACCAACCGGGCAAAATAAATAAAGTATACATTTCAGCAAATGGAAGATGATGTGGGTGCGGCTCAACATGAAAGAGCCATGCAAACCGCGGGATTCAGTCTTGAGTTCCGTGTGAGGTGCCATTTGTGTTCCAATTTTGCAGGTCCCATGATGCAACTCGAAGTTGTTTGAACCAGCCACTCGAAGGAATAACCCCCCCAAATGAGCTGCCAACACTACATGAGTTGTAGTCAAAGCCAGGCATCAAAATGGTCGATCCCCAGAACCCTGCTTCAAGAATTAATAGGGCGGACATCCGCACAATTTCCGGTTGGGATTGTCCCCAACCTTCATCTACCCGGGTTTTGATTGCGGCTCATCTGGGTGTGGCGCAACACGAAAGAGCTAAGGCACACCGCGAATCTCAGTCCTTAGTTCCATGCAGGGTGCCGTTTGGGCTCCAATGTTTGGAGCCACAGCCAGGTGGGAACCTTTGGAGAAAACCGCAAGGGCTCTACATCTTGGGTCCTCTTTGGGTTCAGGATGTGCGACTTCAATGGATTGAAATCAATGTCCGACCCACTGAGTGCTGGTTTGGAGCTCGCGCCAATCCAAACCACAAAATGAATGATTCCTGCACTACCATGGCAAGAACCCACTTACTGGAAGGTCCACGTACCCCAACTGCCCCAGGAGGATTTCCAAATGACGCAAGGATCAATTCCTTAAGGGACCGCCCACACTGCCAAGGTCCTCCAGGTGGAGAGGCTAGAATAAGTTGGCACCCACTGTTTTCCGTTTGTTTTCGCGGGGGGGTTCCCTCCCAACCAAACAAGGGGTTAAGAAGGGCACCAATCACTGGGGGACCGAAAAACCGTGCACTGCTCAATGCCCGAGCCGAAGGCCACACTGCCAATTTCGAGGATCATTTGGCTGTGGCTCAAAAAGCCGCCACCCAAAATGGCTATCGCTAAGTGGAAGCACGGGTTGGAAACCAAAACCTGCGGAAACGCCCATCCGATCGTTTAATTGTGAGCGAGCCACACCCAAGTCTGCAACAAACATCTTGGGCCTCACTGAAGGCCCCACCTTCTTGCATGCACCAACTCTTTCTTCTCCGGGGTCGCCGAAAAAACGAAACGTGCACGTGCACCTCACAGTGAGGGGGTGTGCAAAAAGGAAAAATGCGGTTTGGGTATGGAACCCAAAAAGGGGGTCACAACATGTCCCTTCAAAAGTGTTGCAATGTACTGGTGGTTTCAATGTCCATGGAAACTGCCACTTTTGGAGGTTCCAAAAAGGGACATGGAGGAAAATCCGATTGTTGGGGAATGGAACCCACCAACGGCAGGGACCGACATTCGAAGTCGAAGAGGGAGCCCGGGCTGACCGCCCACTCTTGTAATGCTAGAAGGGCCTTCCCAAAGCATCAGAAGACTCCCCATATCACACAAAAGCAAGCATCAAGGTGCGGAAGAATCTTCCCGCACCCTTGAACATGAAGTAAACACTTCAATGGCCCAAAAGCTGTCTCAACCACACTGGAAGCACTCCTGGGGCGCCAACTCACTTGCAGTGCTTGTGGGGGAACTCACTTGCCCAGCATATCTCGGAACCACAAAAGGGAAGAAAGGAACTTGACCGGGCACCGCGGGTATCTAGGGTTGGGCCAACCTGTTTGAACCGGTTTAGGCCACCATCGTACAAACACTCTTTCCCCTTTTGCCCAGGGTCTTGTTTGTTAGGAAAACTCCCGCAGCTTCCCTTCGCTCGCGCCTTCGCCCCGTCGCCCGTCACCCGCCCCACCGCGCCCGATACCGTCGCGATCGGTCGACGTCCTCAGCAGGATGTCGGCCACCGTGGCCGCCACAGAGCCGCTCAGCAGCTCGAACTTCAGCTCGGAGCGGGGCAGCACCCGCCGCGGCCTCAGAGACTTTGGGAGACTGCGGGCGGCCGAAGTGGCGGGTTTTGGGCGTGTTCGGTGGGCAAAAAGGAGATGTCAACTGGGCTGTGCTCAAAAAACCTTTGCTAAAAGTGACTGACCTTTGAGTGGGTTCAAAACGGAAACCCAACCACCAAAACCGAATAAAAACCTGACAGTCTAAGGAACCGGATGCCTAAGGAAACGGATGGCTGGGAACCAAGTAAAGGAGACCTCCTTTGACTTCATTCACCAAATCAAAATTCCAGACTCTTCGCCGTTGACCTGGTGACTCGTGAAATTGGTGCGCGCGTGTTGTCGACTCAGCCAAATCTCTTCCACTCGCTTTGCAATACTGATCTGGACTCACCATAGCTTGTTAAATGCATGAGGACGTGTCCAGAAATAGGGCACCTTTGGGGGATGTGGATGGTAAAAATTTGTGGATGGCATTCGGCATTCGGCATTAGGTTCACAAAGCTCGTCGGCTTTCTGTTGGTTCCCTCCCTCCCAGGAACAAAGGGACTTGTTTGCCAAGCCTGCTTTTCTCCAGAAGGAAGGGACCCTGTTGCGGGTTGGGGGGGTGGAGGTAAGACTCAACCAAACCGCCCGAATCTGAGATACAACAAAAAGGGCAAGCCCCAAAGACTAACCCTCCATATCTGGCTGAATTATAATATTTCACTAGCCTGAAACCAGGTAGTCTACATAAAAGGGGAGATTCCAACTTGCAGAAGTGGTTGGATTTCTCCCCGAGTGATCAACCACAACCAAACCACACTCGGGCCGCCGCTGGTCTGCAACCCCCTCCAGGTGAATCTCAGCGAAGGGATGACAGGCCGCCGACTGTGATTGGTCCAGGTCTGCCCTTCTTTCAGGGTCAAACGGCAAACCCCGAAAGAAATACCACCCGTTTTGGGGGGTTCGGGGTGGTCAAACGGCAAACCCGTTTTGGGGGTGCCCCTTTTTTTCGAGACAAATCCGTGTGAGCCACGGGCAAGATGTACTGTTGCGCCACTCATCATGGGAAATTAGGCTTCAAACTTGGGGGTTCGTCCCCTATATCCCTGCCAAGACATATGTTGACAACACCCTTGGGTAAAATTGGACATCACCCCCTGGTGACGTTTCGCGGGGGCGTATTGGGAAATCTCGGGTTGCGGAATCTGTTTCACCTGAGCCTGGGCCTGCCTTCACAAAAAATGCGCATCCGGTGTCGCATGGTCAGTTTAGCTCCGCAGCTTCGGTTCCGTCGAGCGGCAAGCGCGTGGATTGCAACGCGCTTCGCGTGCCGCGGGCTGGGGTGAACATCTGGCTAACAATACTTTCGGATCCGAGAGCCAACAAACTCTGGGCCTTGAAGTTCAAATCCTTTGGGCCTTCAAGTTTTGGGCCTTCAAATTTTAAGCCAACAATACTTTCGGATCCAATGCCAGGTCAAATACTTTCGGAGCCGAGGGCGAACCAAATTTATTGGCGCCTTCAGGTTCTGCCGGCTCCCAAGCGTCAACGGCGCTTTGTTTTTCCCCATGGCTGAGGCACCAGGCGTAGTCGTCAATGGAGAGGCTCTCCAGGATCGAGGCCAAAATCCAGGCCTGGCGGCTCATGTACCTGCAGCTCGATCTGTAGCCCACGTGTCGTGGATCCCTTTTTTTGGCAGCCACAGCTTAGATGCCTGGTGGATTTCTATGGGAAAGAAGGATGCATCCCTTTTGCTTAAGCCCCATGGAGCAACAAAATATGTCCAATAATGACAAATTCCACTTAAAACCAACAAGGGAAAATTGGAAAAATGCCATAAGCAAATGGAGGACCCCTTTTTTTGGTGGGGTTGAGTTTAAAGGGGAACCCATCCTCCCAAAAAAAATGGAACAAAGGGCGGCCCTGGGCAAGTGGGACAACATCAAGCCAAGAATGATTCACCAGCCATGTTCGAATGGGCACCCGGAAAAAGGACGCGGATTTCTACAGATCCAGCTGCTTTGAAGCCCCTAGAAATTAACCCTGCGCCTGTGCAACTGCGCCAATGCCCTCCAAGAAAAAGCAGTTGACTCTTCGTTACAGAAGCGCGTTCGTCGAAATGGACACCTGGCCTGCGAAAAGTCTCCCTTCAATACCGACGAACATGTGGCTCTTTACGTGGGAGCGTAGCCTGAAAGAAGGACCAAACTCCGCTTGGTGTCCTTTCTGGTTTCACTTTGAACACCCCAATCATGGTCTGGAATAATGTGTTGTTGATCCCGAATTATGGTTTTATTGACCCTAAATTACTTTCTTTTTGATGCGTATGCTCAAAGGTGGCCCCATTTCTTTTTCTCCAAAGGTTGGCACGTCGCAACTTTGAGCCCGAAGCCAGGCGCACATCACCTGGATCTGCTCCAAAGTGCCCAGCTCCTCCCCCATGCTGCACAGCTTTGTCAGCGAGGGCCTTTCTCGCGGGGTCAAAACTCGCGCGCCCAGTGGCCCATCTTTGGGGGAAACCCAAACGGTTTCGAAACCGACAAAAGTACCAATGACTCTAGGGTTGATTCCCCATTCTTTTCAACCATCGTTCTTTTCAACAACCAACCGTATCAACCGTTTTTTTTGGGTCTCTGGAGGTTTCTAGAAAGAAGGATCCCTGGAAAGAATGGGAAAGGTACCCCTTGAGAGACTGGCTTTTCGAGGGAAGAGCCGATTTTGGGGGTCCCCAAAAAAGCAATCAGACCCATCCAGGCCCCGCACACCGCCACGTTCATGTGGGTGACAATCTGCCCAAGGTCCCCGGTGACCTTCGCCCGAGACTATGGCGCCCGGCATCCCCGCCACCGACACGGCCATCCAGCGAAAAGCGGAGAAAAAAGAAGACAGACGGACAGACGGAAAGACGGAGAGACAAACAGAGAAAGAAAGAAAAGAAAAGCAAATAAAAGAAAGGCAAAGAAAAGAAAAAAGAAAAAAAAGGAAAAGAAAAGAAAGGAAAAACAGAAAGAACGAAAAATGAACAAAACAAATCTCTCTCGCTCTCTCGCAGCGCCAACGGGTGCGGAGCGCGGCGTGGCTACTCTACCCGCCAGGTCTCGTCTGTAAGACGGGTGAGTTGCGACATCTTAGTAGATACTTTGTAAGCCGCAAGGCTGACGGGCAATGGCGGCCCACATATGAATCACAGAGTCATTGGCGAAATGCGTGTCTCTCCTTTTTCCCCAGATAGGGGTTCTAACTTCTAGCAAAGAGGGGAAATTGACTTGTGAGATTGACGGCGTGCTCTAGAAGGCATGGAGTTTGGGGTGCTGGCGCAGGTGCTGTTTTGCGGCGCTAGTGCAGTTTCTGTTGGAGGTGCCGGTAACGGTGTGGGCGCATGCCCTTTGTGCTGGAGGTCCGCCCACTTCAGGCCCGGCGTCTGCCGTCGCTGCCAGGCGAGCGCGTCCGATCGCCTCCAGAGCCAATCCTCCGATCGCTCCAGCTTCAACGGTCCCGTGGTTTCATGCTGTGCCAGGATTCAGTTTGTCATTTCCTACCAAGAGCTTCTTAGCAGAGCGGCCGTGTCTCCGAAGATCAGAGCGTCATCTAGCTGCGTGGACTTCAAAGTCTATGCCTGGGCTCGCGTCGCTGTGCGTTGAGGCAGGCCTCGAGGTCTGCAAACATGACGGGCAGCCTGGTCACTACAGCCGCCGCTGTCCGGCCGCTGCTGGCTAACCCTGCTTCAAGGCGACTCTTTTGATTAGTGCTGCGATGAGTTTGTTAAAAGAGATAAGCTATTCTTTTTCAGAAAGAAAAAACAGTTATTGGCCAGAAGTTTCGAATTGGCAGGACTCGGGTTTTTGGTACCCAGATACTGCCATAGCCTCGTCGAGCACGACGGGCTCACGGGCATCGTTGAGTATGTCGAGAGCTGTGCGATTGTCGTCGAGATATTTTGTCAGTTCTGCTCGGTAGTGGTCGAAATACCCTTGTTGTTACCTCAGTTTGCTCCCCTAAGGAAAAGGGTCCATCGCGCACACAGCGTCCGGTTTGTCAAGCAAGCTGGGTTTTGTTTTGCTGGCGGTAGGGCTTCCATTGCTGTTCAGACAAATAGTCTGCCGCCTTGTCCGGGTATTGGCTTGTACAGATCCGTCTTCCATCCTTGTCGTTGATTTTGTAAACTTCAAGGCTGGTCGGCTGCTTTTCTTGAGACCTGACCATTTGCACCCCTTGCCCTTCAATTTCTTCCAGTAGTTGTTTCATGTCTTCTCCTCTCTCTCTGGTGATGTTTCTTCGTCGCCAACGGCTCACGCCTCTTGTCTGCGTTCTAGAAGATGCCATGTGGTTTCTGAGACTAGGTCCTCCAGTAGAGGTGTTAGAATAAGGGTACCCTTTCTTCTCTAGTCTATTTTAGTAGGGGAACCCTCCCAAAAAAGGGTAGAGAAGGGCAAGAACTGGGGATGTCGTCCATATTTTGGTTCGGCCTGCGCGTCAAGGTTTCTGCTGCCTTTTTGGAGGCGTTGCGCCGGAGCATCTGCGGTCGAACGCAGTCGCTGCAGCTAGTTGGTTAGCCTTCGGGGCCCTATACTTTGGCGTCGCGTCTGCTGTTTGCTTCTTCCTGATGGCAAGTCTGAAGATATGTGTTTTTGCTGCCAGCATCTTGTGATCTGAGTCTAGGCTAGGAAAAGAGAGGCCAGGAAAGGAAAGGAATGGAAGGGAAAGGAAAGGAGAAAAGCAAACAAACAACCAAATGAACAAACAAACACAGAGAGCGGACGGACGGACAGACGGACAGACAAACAGAGAAAGAAAAGTGAAACGATGAAAGAATGAAGGAAAGGAAACGAAATCAAGGAACGGAAAGGAAAGGAACGGAAGGCAAAGCAAAGGACAAAAACAAACAACCAAGCAACAAAACAAACAATCAAATACCCAACCAAACAAACAAACAAGCAAACAAGCAATAACAATCTAGCAAACAAGCAAACCAATACTGCTTCTTGGTTTCAAGGGTAAAAATCAGTGTTGCATGCTTGAGCTAAGACTCGCTTCCGACTGGATCGCTTGGGTCACACCCCGCCCTCCTGAAAGCCCATGACGACATGCCGAGTGTCGCGCATACTTGACCACGAGGCACAAGCAACGCCTGGGCGGCTGGCGACCAGCTGCTGATTGCAAAATGACTTGGTTCACACGGTGGATGGGCGCAGAATCCAGAAATCGCACCGCGGACTGAAACCATGGCTGAAAAAACCCACCATGTGTGTTGGTGTTTGCGTTGGGGAATTATCAGAAAGTAGGGTTTCTTAGGTGGCGTGAAATGGAGTTTCTTCCATCCACACGGTGATATCCGGAAGGTGGAATGGCCAATTTGTGGCAACCTCCAGTAACTGCACCATCTGAAGATTGAGCATCCATGCGTGAAAGGGAGGTGAATCAAAGGGGCCAAGCGACGAGGGACGCTCTTGCTCTGAGTTCTAGAACGATAATTGTCCCCTAAAAAAAGGCAGGCTCAGCACGGGCGCCTTTGAATAAACGAACCCCTTCTGCTCAAAAGCGCTCTTCGGGGAAAAAAATATCGTTGGCTTGTGCTTCGCTTGGGGCCCGGGCACCGCTTCGTGCACACCGCTGGAAGGCTGACTCCGGATTAAGGCCTCAGACTTCGCTCCGAACAGGTCGAAGCAGCATGACAAATACTTGGTTGACGTTGGAAGGGGAGCAAACATTTAAATGTTAGCAGTTAAGTGGGGATTTCCCACTAAACCACAATAAGCAAAATTGTAAAATGCTTCCCAACAACAACCATGAATACATGACATCACTGGGCCTCCTCTCTCTCTGCTGGCAAAGGCTTGAGTTTCTGAATATGTGTCTGTATGGCCCTTCGGTTGCCACTCAACGGGCTTGTTCCATGAGCTTAGAGAACTGACGTAGAGAGCTCTTTGTCAGATTGACTTCTCGTTTTGTTCGCTGCTTTCAACAAATTCATCAATCTGCTTCTGCTGGTTGGCACAAGAGGCAGACGCGTAATTGCATAACATCACGAGAAAAATCGGTTCAGCTATTTACGGATTTGGAAACTCGTTTTAGACTTTCTTAACCAGATTCGGATGCTTGCATTTCTTGATTCTCCTCAGCTTGCTTTGCACGAAGCAGATAGATCCAGGTGATCTAAGAGAGCTTCTGGGGATTACAATTTTGGACTTCGTATTTGGACCCTAGGGGGAAACCGGACTACTCCAGGCCTTCTAGTATCTGCTTTGCTTTTGGTCAACCAAACAATTTTGTTTGCAGTCCAGCGACACGTCAGGTCCCGCAGGCAGGGTGCGTTGATTCATATCGTGCTTTGTCATGGCAAAGAGACTGGGCGGCGCCCTCTCTGCTGGACATAGGGGAACCAAAATGCCCGCCATGCCTAAGGGCACTCATTTAGGCCGCACAGATTTCAAGATATCAATTGCATCCCGATCACAAAAGCATTGATCGCGACGACCGCTTATGGCATTAATGGCGCTGGTTCGGACGAGTGCAGCAGTATGGCAAGGTGCTGCCTTTGTCCCTGCCACTCGGTTTCCCCGCTGTACAGCCACAAAGTTAAGCAACCAAGCCAGAAACAAAGCAACCAAACAACCGAGCGCTCAAGAGCCAATTGCCATGTCCTACCTAGGCTGGAATTAGGACCACAGCAAAAATGTATCTATTTTTTGCCTGGTTAGTGGAAAACAAAGGGGACCCCAAAAAAGCAAAAAAGGAAAAAGGGGAACTAATTCTAGGGAAGCTACCTGAAAGAAGAAGAAGAAGAAGAAAAAAACAGAGCCCCGCCTGCAGGTCCACTTGCACCTGTCGGTGATCCATCAAGCCACGCCTGGCCGGTGAGAGTGACTCGCAAGCCCGCGCCCAGAACCATCTCTGAACTTGTGAGGAAAATTGCAAAATGGCTCCCGATGATTTTTGGGGTCTCAACATGGGTTGTTTTCAAGGGCCCCTGGAAAAACCGGGTTCTTCATTAGAGGGCCCGGGGGCCTGCATTGTAGGGGTCGTGAGCCTTAGGGTTGTTCATATTCGAATGCAGTGCCGATGGATGCTCAAAAACGAATGAATCTCTGAACTCGGTGGGAACCCTGATGGTTGCCCAACAAATCGACACATCCTTGGCAAGAAACCCATGCAGAGACAAGAAACTCAGCGCTCAGTCACGAGCGCCGAGCCTGAGCCATTTCTTGAATGTTCAGGCCGCCGGGTCAATAGGCTGCAGCTGGGTCCGTTTCGGTGATACTCAACTGGCCATGGGTCAAAATCCCGCAGTGAACATCCCAATCCCCACTAAAATAGACTAAAATGGGTGGTGCACCTTCCCCAAAATTGTACCATTGGTTTTGACCCACAGCCCACTGACCCTTTCCAATGGTGGCTGCAAAGGAAACCTCACCAAAAGTAGTTTGTTCGACCGCCCGTGCTCAAATGCTCACGTTACTGTCCTAATTGCCGGAACACCCCGGCATACGTGAACGCTTATGCCCAAGGAGACCCTCAACATACCATCAGCCCAAAAAAGAGATTGCGTTAGAGAAGGTTCCCCAACGCCGAAGGTTCCGTAGTTCCGCCTTGTTGATGAGTCCAAGTGCAAGCATTCTTTTTGCGGCAACTGAGGTAGAATCCCCTATCACAACGGCTACCTACTATGTGGATGGTAAAGCAACGACATCTTAGCCCGCGCATCCCGAGCATCCACGTCCAAAAGCGCAATTCAGCGGCCCAAGGCCTCTCAGCGACATAGGGGAGCACGGTCGACAGAATGCGACAGACCTGTGCAAGGTGGCTTGAATGAGCTCGGATTTCCCCCCGCTCAACAAGCCTCCCGACGGTTTTAGAGTGATACAGGGAATTCCCCCGCAACCCCGGACCTGCCAAAGTTTGGTGTCAAAACGCGGTCACGCCATGAGCAGCCATGGATAAAGCCGTCAAAGCAAGCAGCCCAACAAATATGTATCGGGGATCCTTACATTATACACCTGAGCATTGCCTTGTAAATGGTGGTGTCCCTTTATTTTGGTGGAAAAAGCCATGTTTCAAATGGGCAAAATGTAGCTTTAAAGGAGCCCTGTGTATATAAAGATATATGTATACTTGTACACATGGGCATTCGTCAACAAGCTGGTATCCGAAGCGTGCAGTAAGTCAGCGTGTCGCCTCCAATGGCAAAAGAAAAGTTGCAAGGCATCAAAACGCATACCCGACAGCATCCACGCAAGCCTTTCCTAGGAATCACACTCGCGCGGCTGCAACTCTTTCACGCGTTCACGCAAGTTTTCAGGAATCCGAGGCCAGCTTTTTGTGATAGCCATACGTGTCATGTGTGTACATATATATACTTATATTAAACCTTTACAGTCGCGCACACACACGCACACACACACACACAAACACGCAGACACGCAGACACGCAGACACACGCACACACACACACACACACACACACACACACACACACACACACACACACACACACACACACACACACACACACACACACACACACACGCACACACACACACACACACACACACACACACACACACACACACACACACACACACACACACACATTTCTCGGGACGACTTGATGCATGCTCTTTGCATCTAGAACATGCCCAACTCATTTGGGGCGTATTGGAGATCCCGTTTTGGATGGTGCCATATTTGGCCCCTGTCTTGGGACCCCGTTTCACCATCCAGAAGGGTCCTCGAAATGTCTGAATGGTTAGCTTCCTTTTCCCCCAGAAGCCCCATCAATTTCAGCTGCAATGCTTTACAGTTCTCAACCCTGAAATGCTGTGGATGCACGAAATCCTGCACCTAAGCAACCCTGGCATGATTCGATTCCCAAACCTAAATACCAACAAACCTTCTGGTCTCATTCCCATGGTTTCAGTTCTTGGGTTTCTTTCCGAGTAATTAGAGGACCGAGTGAAGTTCGTTTCACGTGCCCCGGCGCCTTGATGGCCACCCACTGCTCCTCGGCCGTGGAGTCGTCCTGACCGGCACAAAAGCGGCACGCAAAATTTCCGCGAAGCGAGCTGCTCAGGGCAAAAGGCAAACACCCGGCAGTGCCAAGAGAGGTCCTCCAAGCAAGAATAGGCTGCAAAACACCCATGCAATAAATGCAAAGAGATACGCACCCCCGTTCTCTCTTGTGGTCTTAGCGTCCTTGGATGGAGACGAGAAATCAAAAGGAAGACCTTTCGTTGGGTACCACTTTAGAAAGCACCTGCATAGCGCGTGTCAAGATCGGATCTCCTACAGCCCCAGGCGTTTTTTCATTTCCAGGAGCTTGATAGCCGACAGAGACATCGGCCCTGTCCTCCAAAGCAAGGTAGATGGTCAAGGGCCGCAAGTGGACCAGCCTCAAAGCAGCTCTTGTGGGAGGCATCAAGGCTTTTGACCAGGTGCGCCACGAGCCAAGTCCCCGTCCCGTGTGTCGGGCTCAGCGACTTCTAAACATGGCTTTCCCGAAAAAGGCCAAGATAAGGGCCCACCTAATCCTAGTCTCCTCAGAAAGTTGCAAAAACAAGTCATAGAATAGGCGGTTTCCGAAAAGAACTAAGGGTGAACAGAATGAAGAACCAACCCTTCACGGCCTGGCGGGCCGGGGGGGGGGGTTAAGGGACACAAAGCCCACCATGGGAGCGAGCGGCCACCGGGGAATGGGGGAACGAACCTGATACGGGAACCGCGAAGCCACGGAGGTTTCTTTAAATGAGTCACAATCGAAGCCCGGTATTAAAATGGTCAATCCCCAGAACCATGCTTCAAGAAGTAAGAAGGCGGAGATCCGCACTGTCACTAACCTTCACGTACCCGAATGGGTTAGATTGATCATCGACCATTTGAGTTACTAGTGGTTGTCTAACAATCAGTCATTGTCCCTTACCCGTTTGAGTCACGAACCCATGTATGGTTGGTTTTGCTTGTGACTCACATGGCTGTGGGTCCAAACCAATGCTACCATTTTTTGCTAGGTGCACCACCCGTTGTAGAACCTATTTTAGTGGTTGGATTGGGATGTTCCCTGGGGGCTAACCGCTTTGGGTTTGGACCCATGGCCAAATGGGTTTCGGAATTCTGGGGGTGGCAGTCTCCTATTTCGTGTGCCATCGGCAAACACGCAGAGCTGGGCTCGCTCTCAAGGTCCGGGCAACCTGGGGAAAGCCCAAGTGGTCAAGTGGGGCTTGGGGAAACCTGGATGGAACTAAAAAGAAAAAGAAAAAAACCTCCCCTGACCGACCCCCTGGTTTGAGTCAAGGAACCCCCCCAGTGTTACAAGCCTTTGCTTTACGGTCCCTGTGAGCTCCAAAAGGGGGCGAAAAGGACCTCCCCTACAAATCAACCAACCCGAGAGCTTCCTTCTTTAGAGGCTGCTTTTGGGAGAACCGCGGTTCTGCTCCTTCAGTTTAGAGATCAAACCTCAAGCTGCTTGAACTGGAATATCCTTTCCAGGGAAAGCAGGATCGACCAACAATTCGCCCCCTTGGATGTCTTTTGTGGGTTTTCCCCCTTTCCCCCTTTTTGTTGGGATAGACAAATCTTCTGTCTGTTGCGGTATATCCCCGTTTTGCCCCTCGTTTTCGGGGCTCCCCTCGGCCGGAAGCCCCGAGGCTCCGCGCAGGTCCTTGGGCTGAGCCGCCGCAAAGGCCTCGAGCGTCGACAGCAGCGAGCGCCGCAGCAGCCACTGCTCCTCCGGCCGTCGGCGCCCGGCTCCGTGTTCGATGGAAACTGGGTGATTTTTTGGGCGTCATTTAGGCGAGCATTCAAGGGCCTCGGTTCGTTTCGCGCGGAGCGATGGGGAGGAGCCGGCTCCGTGTGCGCTGGAAACTGGCTGGGAGTTGTTCGATTAGAGACCCTTTTGGGGCATCATTTAGGCAAAGTCGGAGCGCTTGTGAGGTTCCAACTCTTGAGATTCATAGCCAAATGGATTCTGGAAAGTGAGTAGCTTTGCGGAAAGCAAAGCGAAGCATCGGATGAAAAGGAACCAAACTGAAAGTGGACCAAACTGACCTAGGATACCTGTCGGAGCTCTACCACCTCTGCCGGTTCTCGGGTGATCAAATGATTCATTCGTTCTCAAAAACCAGTTCCACACACCAGAAATGACTTGCTGGTTCTCAGCAGGGAATGAATTGGAATGATCACGACAAAAACCATCCCATATCTTTGAGATAATCCCAAGGCTCATTTCCAAAACCCGGGAGGACATTCCCTATGTAACGCACAAGCAGGATTACCCCTGTGATACAAAAACATCCCCCTGACGTCTGTATCACTTTAAAGGGAATTCCCTTGGAATCCCCAAAAATGGTTCCCTGCTCAAACACCGAGCCAGTTCTACCCAGTCCCTTATCCTGATCTGCCTGTTGCCCTCTTATCCCACCTTCAATCACCCGCCCTTTTTTCCCGCACCACTTCACACAGGTTTGGGCAATAAGGGCAAGATTTCAAAATGACAGCACGGAATGGAGAAGGCACGCACGACGCGCAAACCAAGCAAAGTCAACAAACGGAGGCTTAAGGCTTGAAAATCCGACCAACCTTGCCGCCATCGCGCACCACTGGTTTGAATGTTTGCTTCTTTGGAGCATTTGGGCGTACACCACACGATAAGTGGCTGGACGAAGTTCTCAAACAGAGATCCTCGGAGCCTGGTCAGGCCCAAGTTAAGTACTTTCAAGGACTTGGTTGCTCTTGACCCCCTGCAAAAAAGTGTTTAACTTTTGGGGGTTTAGTGGAAAACACAACTTGATTTCAACCAAAAAGTTAAGTCTAAAGATCCGTTACCCAATAGCAATCAAGAGGAGGCCCAGTGAAGAAAGACATCCGCACCAAACCGGCCGGCCTCATGCGCGTCATGCATGCTGTTTCCTTCTGATGGTTGTCAAATTCACTTTCCTTCCAAAGGGCTGACCATCCCAAGCAAGTGGCGTAGACGCGCCAGGGGCTACGTTGCCTGGCTGCCTGGCTTGCGATGCTTTTTTTGCCTTTCTCGCAACCAGACTTTGCCCACCCCGCAATCAAACCAGGCTTGGTTTGGAATTCTGCTGACGGTCAAGTGCAAGACTCGCAAATGGTTCATGTGATGGCATAGGTATCGCAGCTTATTTATTTATTTTATCTGTCATGGAAGATCAATGGTCCACCTGGCAAATTCTGGGTTGGTCTTGAACCCCCTTGCTACCTGGGTAAAAAACAAATGCCAAAGCTCAAAGAAAGGTCCCCAAAACCTAAAAGCGGCCCAGCAGCCCAGCAGCCGAGCCGAACCGACCCCCTCCTCCGCGCTGAGATGCGGCTCTTTGGCCGAGCCCTGAAGTCGAGCAACGAGAAGCGACGACTCGCGGCATCTACACCCAGCAGCAGGGCCCAACCAACAGCAGCACAAAAGCACCAAAGCTGGTGGGTGACCATGCCCATGGCATGAATGTGGGCTTGTCTCAAAATGAGGAACCCCAATCTGGGCGTCCCTTTGGCTTCTAATAGAAGCGCTCGGAGAAAGAACAAACCCGCCCTCGAGGAAAAAAAAAATGCAAGCAGCGTGTTTCAGGAACTGGGTTCCCTTCTCTTGTCAGGCTCGGGATTCAGGCGGGCCCCCACGAAACACATTGGAGGAAGGCGCTTGGATCTTAAGATGCTCGCCTTTAGGCCTCAGAGCTTGGGTTCGCCTAAGACAAGCTGCCAGTCACCATGTTGAAGACCGAATTTAGTGGAGTTCGATCTCAAACTTCAGCATCGGCCTACCCCAGATTGCACTGCGCCCATATGAGGTGTCGTGCACCCAGAGCCATGCTGCGAGCAACACAAGCAATTTTGTTTCCCAACGCCTGCCACTCTCCAACTCGAAAACTGGTTTGGACATCCCGCGGCAATGTGGCACAGGGTTTGCGCCAACGGCAGCTGGGGCAAGGTGGAAAGGTGCAGTTTCGACGGAATAGAGCGTATAGCTGTGAGAACGTCCCACTTGCGGAGGAAAGACACAGGCAAAAAAACCCTCCAGGGAAATCAGAAACATGTCTCATTTGGTGGCCTTGACTAACGCCCAAAGTCACGGTCCGCGTACTGCACGGCGCCGACGCAAACCACCTCTCCCGACAGGCCTTTCGGACCATGGGGAGCCTTCTCGGATCTTGAAAGGGAAACCACAAGTGACCGACGCAACGTTGGCTGGTTGGTCCTTTAAGCCTATGAGGCCCCAAAAGGACATTGCTTCGGCGTCTTAGAGAACAAGGGGACAGCCCTTTACTTGAAATTTCAACCTTCGACGTGGCCGGGCCTTGGTTTTCTTTCCCACGGGTGGCTGCTTGCACCTGCGGATGGGCACTGGTTCAACTGGTTGCGGGGTAAATTGCGGGGCAAGTCAACCAGAAATCAGGGAATCTCCCGGAAAGGGGCCTTGCTTTGTTTTTGCCGGCCCAGAGGGGCTCCCGATGTTTCTTTTTAGGGCCCTCAAACGACCAGGTTTTGAGACCGGGTCCCAAACACCGATTCGCGGGGTGTCTAATGGAGGGGTCGGGTCTTCCATTGAAAGTTTCAGGAGCCTCTGGGGGGGACGATTTCCAAGGTGTTGCATGGGATTTCCATGGGTGCCTCCGAAAGGCGGGAGCCGAGCGAGCCCAATGCAAACTGAAGCAGGGGACTTCTCCTTAGGCAAGCCTTCCGATGCGACGATGCCGGGCAGCAAGGCTTGCACCTTGCCAACCTACACACTAGTGATTTCGGAATTGGAGGTAAGGCTCCATGCGCCAAGGGGAAACCGACAACCCTAAAGAATCCCAAAACCTACACCAGAATGACAGGCAATTGGTTCTCAGTTTTGCTTGGTGGGGGGATTCCTCTAGCGTTCGGAGAAAATTCCCAAGTCGAAGTCACATCCATTCGCAGACCCAAGTTTAGGCGCAACCCTCTCACTGATTCCACCACTTGCAACAGAAATTTGAAGCCACATAGAATAACGGTACCCTTTTCTCTTCCTTTTTTTTTCGGTAGTCTACTTTAGTAGGGGAAGCCTCCCAACCAAAAAAGAAACGGTGAGAAAGGGCACTACAAAACCCAGTCAATTCGGAGAGCCGCAGTTCGGGGCGCACTTCAGTTGGACGAACTCGTTGAGGATCAGCGTGGTCCAGCGCCGGATGGCGAACTCATAACCCTTGGAGTTCTTCTTGGAGCCTACCCGAGCGCAGCAAAAAGCGTCCACAGAAACGGGGGGGGGAAACCCATGGGGCACGGCGGCGTGGAAAATCCGCAACAGAACCTTGGCCCTGAAGGAGTCCGAAAGATCTGCGAGGAAACAAACCGGCTGTGCGTTGGGTGACAAAACCTTCACTCAGAGGAAAAGCAAACTGATACCAGTCACATGCAAACTCATGTCAACCCCGCAAGCCGAGCAAGAAATCCAGCCACAAACACATCAGCCAAGAGTGCGGCTGATAGGGCCCGCAGCATGCTGCAGCTTGGCACTTGCCCCAATCAAATCAAAAGGCAACCTGAAGACCGGGAGCCTTTGACTCACATCCTGAGCGGATTGGTCAGAAAAGTCCAAACTGATTGTTTACCCAACAAGCTTCAAGTCCAGGAACTCTGGAAGTGAGTGTGCGTTCTACTCAAAACCCAAAATGGAGAACCCGCACACCGAAACATCAAGACCTCCCAAATCAACCAGAACGATGGAAGAGGCCAATTCCCTGTCAAGTGCAGCAAGAATCGGACATTTCACCTTGGGCTATAGCCCCCCTTTTCGTTCAACAGCCCCCCCCCCCGCCAAACAAAAGGGGGAGACAAAAAGACTCCCCCCCCCCAAAAAAAAAAAAAACATAAAATGGAAAACACGAAAAACGTCCCCCCCCCCAAACCACAAAAAAAAAAAAAAAGGACCCCCCCCCCCCCCGGCCGATGGTCTTCCGGAAGCGCCGGAGCAGCTCCGTGAGCACGTCCCCCATGCAGGCCTCAAACTTGCGGGCGCGAGACACCGGGAGCTGTCCTCAGATCCCTCGCTGAAAGTGGCTAACTTTTCGATCGAAACCCCCAACTAAACTCTAAAAGTCCAAGAAGCTGAGGGGATGGCCGGGAACACTAAGATATGCAAGAAAGGAAGAGAGAAAGAGAGAGGGATATAGAGAGAGGGATATATATATATATATGCATACGTATAAAGAGAGAGAGAGAGAGGGATATACAAAAAAAACGTATGTACACATATAGATACATAGATATATATATATATATATATATACATAGATATATATATATATACATAGATATATAGATATATAGGTATGGATATATAACATACATATATGTGGTATATGTGCTTGCGTATTCATCTGAGCAAGCAGTACTGAGAAAAACGGTGGTGTTCAGCTCTTCTCATTTGGTCGGTACCAAGGGTCAAGCTGGGTACTTCCTAGGTCCGATAAGTAGGGCTTCAATATGAACAGAACGCTTATAATCTGTGGAAAAAAGTCCGGCTTTTGGGGGACAAAGAGGCTAGGGATCGGATGCTAAGCAACCAACATCAACCGACATCAGCCAGTCCCCTCGGGAAACAAATACAAAAAATAAATAAAAGCATATATGATAATAATAACAGTAATAATAATAATAACAATAATAATAATAATAATAACAACAACAAAATAATAACAATAATAATAATAACAATAATAATACTAATAACAATAATAATAACAATAATAATAATAACAATAATAATACTAATAACAATAATAATAACAAAACAATAACAATAATAATAATAATAATAATAATCATCATCATCATAAGAAGAAGAAGAAGAAGAAGAAGAAGAATAGTAATAATAATAATGAGAATGACGATGATAATGACAATGATAATAACAACAATAATGATAATAGCTTCCACCTCGCACCCGAAGAAGAAGAAAGAAGTGAAAGCCACCGGTGAAGATAACTTCCACCTCAGGACCCCCAAAAACAAATGTTGGGCGCTGGCGCCAGCTCCGACTCACGGCTCCTCTTGGGCTCCTGGCGATGCTTTTAGAGGCATCCACCACCCGGGACAGCTGACGCGCAGCCTGGGCGGGGGCAGCGTGCGGCGGGTCTTGGCGCCTCGTGGTTCCCGGCATGGGTGTCCTTGTTAGATGATTCAACCACCAGGTAAACCAGGAATCGCCATCTATTTGTCCAGCAAAACAAACAAAAAAAACACCTATGGGCACGAATCGAACTGCCTCGGTGACGTCTGGAATCTGGGCCATCATGGGAAATTCAATCAAGGACTACCAGACTACCTGACTACTTTCGAATGTGCCACAACCGTAGTTGGCGCACTCCGCGCACATTCGAGCCCTGTCCAACCAGCATCTGTGCCATGCTGAAAGTACATATGCATGGCCCCCTTGATTTGCCCCCCCTCATCCTCGTTGTCTAAAGCCTTGCTAGATTGTTGATCACAATCCCCTGAACGACCACTTGTACCATGCCTTCCCTCCAAGAGCCTTCCAGCGCAACCCACTACGAGCATCGATATCGCGGTTGTACGCCTTCGGGGTAGTACAAACCCTCCCGAATTCCCGGGTTTGCCCTTCGTTGTAGACCCGAGGCCAAACCCCAGCGAGCAATCCCGAAGGATTTTCTTTGTCCTTCAAGCAAGAAGGGAGGGTTGTATTTTCAACAGGCAAGCAAGACCTTGAAAGGTTGATCCCTGTGCTCCCTTCGCGGATTGGGCAGAAAAAAGTCCAAACTTGCAGTTTAACCACTCAAATGGTCTTCCCAAAAAGTCCCAAGTCCAAGAACTCTGGGAGTAAATTTGACAAAATTATCTCATCCCTGAAAAGCCAGGCGTACAGCAGAACAAGCGTGTAAGCTTGCAAGAGGAAGGCCCGTCTCTGTGGGCCTGTGTGCGTTTTCGGAATCATAACGGGAAGCATCGGTGTCCTTTTACTAACCAAGCTGCAACCACCGGAATTCATTTTAACTGCAGGGAAGCTAGACACCTATAACCATACGTCGGTTCAGCTGCAAACTCGGTTGGCCCAAAAAGTGAACCCATCAAATAAACATGCAAAAAAACAACAGTGAGTCTTCACCATTTGACCAGCGGACAATAGTATGTGTTGGACTTGGAAAGTTCCGGGGGGGGACCTCCGGTGAAAAAAATGAAGCCGCTTTCGAAAGCCCAAGACGTCCCCTGGTTTGGGTGAAAAAAATGAAATCACTTTCGAACGCCCAAGAGGACGAGTTTAACCAAAAAAAAAACCTCTTGTTCAAACATGCTCAAACGTTAAACACCCCCTTGTTGAACCCATCCTCCTTTTGGTTTCCCTTCAAAGGGACCAAGATCCAGCTCGCCCCTCCCGGGGGCCCCGACCTCCGGCGTGGGCTCGTCGTCCATGAACCACAGAAGCTCAAAGGTGCCCATCACCAGGTTACGCCTCGGCACTGCCTTTGAACCGGGCCAAAGCCCGCGACAAACTAAGTGAAACCAGGAGAAAAAAAGAAAGAAACAAAAAAACGGTCACTTTCTCAACCCCTTTTCTGGGTTGCCATTAAAACCAAACCCGAGTAAAAACCAGCTCAACCCGTTTTTTCTTGGCTTCCCTGCAAAAACCAGCCTTTTTGGTCACTGTCAACCCTTTTTTGGGTTCCCTGTAAAAACAACCCCCCCCCCCCACCCCCATTTACCAAAAAAATAACTCTTAGCCCTCACCCACCCCCCTCCCCTCCCCCCCCCTTGGGCTTTTTTCGCGAACTCCCCGCAGAGCTCGGCGCACCAAAGCCCCGAAGCTCCGGCCCGCGGCCCGCGGCCTGGGCCGCCCGACAAGGCCTCGGAGTCCGTGGAGCGGCGCAGCAGGTCCAGAGTCACCGGCACCACGTCCGGGTGATCCGGATGGTTCAGCACCTATACAAACCGCCACGAGCCAAAAGCGGCATCCATTCTGTTGACTTTGTTCCCCGTGGTTTTTTTTGTTTTACACAAAATGTGGTTTTGGACATCTTTGAATTGGTGGTTCATCACCTGGAGCTACAAAGCCCCCTGTTTTTGAAACTGTTGTGTTTTGGAAATCTTTGAATTGGTTGTCTTTCTGTTGAGTTGGTTTCCCGTGTAAAAAAAAAGAGGAAATCTTTGAATTGGTGGTCTGTTTGTCGAGGTTGTTGCCCGTTTTGTTTGGTTGGAGTTACTGTGGATGGGTGCGAAATCCTGAAATCCCACCAAGAACTGGAACCATGTAAATGAAGCCATAAGGTTTATTGGTATTAACGTTGGGGAATCGAGTCAGAAACCAGGGTTTCTGACAGGTGGTGCAAGATGTTCTTGAGTTTTTACCCATGTCAATGCAACCAGTTTTCCGCTGACAGAGTTCAACCGGTAGGCAAAGGGACGGACGGCACCCTTGATACAAGCAGGCGTGTCCTTTCAATGTGTGTCTTCGTCCTCTCTCCCAAGGCAACTGATGAGAGTTGCATAGCCCTGGCCATGTGCCGACCAGGTAACCCCTTATGCCGCAATAGGGGTGTGTCTTTGTTTAGGGGACCCCTCAAAATGGACCCCTCAAAATGAGTAATTCTCCTGTTGGTTGCCATTTAAAGTGACAAAGAAAAGTGTGACCCCTCAACAACCAAACAAAACTACTGGCGGTGCAACCTTAGGGTACGTCTCAAGCGCATGACAGTCCTATGGCCCGTCATTCTTGCCTTGAGGGCACCCTTTTGTAGATTGATTTGTGTTATCAAGCCTAGGCCACCTAAGGGAATACCTAGGCAAGCAGCAAACCGTTGACTACCTTTTCACACTGCTGTCAGTGATCTTGAAGTCTGTAGCGGCGGAGCATGTACAAGAACACTCATGCACAGGGTTGGAACCTGAGTCCACACCCCCCTCATTTGAGATTGAGCAACAACGAAAATGTCGGCAGGTTTTGCAACCCGCTTTGATTCAACACGCACATCCATTGCACGTTGAAAATGGACATTACACATCCGTCGTGCATGCAAATTGCTACTCTCACTCAGAAGGGCTCCATTGTGATGACGATTGCGTTCACCACCTTCCGCTAGTAGACCAGCCACGCGAACTCCAGGTCGACCACTGCCAACTGCTCCAGTCATGACTGCTCCAATCATGGCTGCTCCAATCCCTCCAGCTGCGGCTTCTGGCAGCGGAGCTGGAGGCGGGCTGAGCAAGTTGCACAGGTCCGCGGGCGCGGTCCTCGGCGCTTTGCCTCTGGCTGCGCTGTGCGAGCTTCTTCGCGTCGTCCTCCGCCCAGCAGCAAATCTCTTTGATTTCAGCTTCGAGGTCCTCGGCTCCGGTTGCCCGGAGCGTAGGGAACTTTCCGCCAAAGGTGACAAGGTTGCGCATCCCCGGGAGGATGTTGACCTGGGCGACGAATTGATGAAGGCTCAGCATTTTCCCGTTATACGAGAATAGACCTGGCCGCCGGTAACGTAGACAGTCCTCACGTAATGGAGACCTCGTTTTCCATAGCCTGGCCCAACCCCGAGAAGTCGCTGATCGTAACTTCGTGGAAATTCGGGAAGGACGCAAAACCTATAGATAGACATTTGGTAGAGGCTCTCGCGATTGTGTCCTTGCTCCACCATGCGAAGGGCAAAGGTCGCGTCCTTGTCGAACCGATCCACCACATTGTCATATCCAAGCTTGCGGGCTCTGCTATCGTAGTTCTTCGAAGCCTCAATCTGCTTGGCTTCAAAGGATGTTGCTCCTCTCTTCGCAACATCAGCATAGCCCTTGAAATCGTTGATGAGGAGCTGATCAACCGACTTGCCAACGCGGTGACTCACCTCCTCGAGCATTTGCGTTCTCCGCTTTGCAGCTCTGAAGAGTTGAACACCATTGCCCTCTTTGGTGCTCTGTCCGCAACGCTGGCACTTGAGCTGCCCCTGCATCATGTCCTCGCCGCAGATGCTACAGTCCGTGTAGTGGACGGGCATGGCGAAGGTCTTGAACCTGACGACTGAGGTATCGGCCGCGGGTTGCCCCGGGCGAGCAGCGCTCGTTCGTCTGCTCTTCTTCAGGATTTGTGGCCCTGTTTCCTTCCGCATCGGTCTGAAAGGCCTCGTCTGCAGTCACAGTGACGGCTCGCCTTGCGGCGCGCGAGTCGACAGTCGTTTGATTCTCCAATGCCTCAAGACGAAGGGCGTTTCTCCAAAGCACTTCACCTGTCTGCGCATCTGTGTAGTACAGAATGGCGTCATTGGGAACGATGTCGGCAGTCAGCATGACTCCAGACTCCGAAAGGAAAAACACCACTCCGAGCTCGATCGCGTACTTGAAGTCGATGATGAGCTCAATGGGCATTGATGCGCGGACTCCAGCATTATATGATGAGCTCTCAACCGGGTGGATGGAGAAGTGGCTCTGCGAGCGACCGCTCTCAGTTGCCCCAACTCCACCCGGGATCACTCCTGTCCTGACGATGTTCTCGGCTGCGTTCTTGCTCGTGCGATGGTAAAGTTTGCCAGGGCCATCCTTGATCAGCGAAAGCTGCAGTCCGGCCTTGCGAGCATCCTCCGGGAGAAACTTCCCGAAGATGGCCTTGCAAGTGCGTACTGGTTTCGGCTGATGTCGCCATCAGCATCAACGCTGCTGGCGTGTCCCTGACTGGCACGAACCTTGATGACAACCCACTCCTGGTTGTTCTCGGCAGCCGAAGGATGCTTGATCGCAAGAACAGTGAATCTGCATTTCGGATCACATGCAAAGATCTTCAACAGCGTCTTGTACCCGATGTTGCTGCGGGTCTTTCTGTTGAATTTGTCACATAGCTGGTGCACGTCGACAAAATAGTTCTCATCGAAGTCAAGTGGCCTGTGATCCTGAAATCGGCCACGTAGCATTCCAGTTATGGTTGTGCATCGGTCAGTCGAGGAAGGCTCTCCCTTCAGGAAGGTGGGCACTTTCAGAATCGTGCCCGGGAGAATCCTCGCCTCGTACTGCTGGCCGCGGAAGATGACGGTTCCGCCGGGCTTGCCTGGCAATGCGCTTCCGGCAGGGGTTGCCCCCCGCACATCCGACGCCACCGCTGTTGTCGTTGCTTTCGCCAGTACCTTAGGCGATGCTTTCGCGGTGAACTTGGGTGTAGCCGGAGCGGCCTTGACGCCAAGCGCAGCCTCAGCGGCACTCCCTTGCGGGAGTGCATCATCGTCGTCATAGTCGATCTCCTCCTTGATTTCGACTTCCTCGATATTGCGGCCCTTCGCGAGCTTGATAGGACGTTGAAGGCCATGGGAATATTGAAGGTACAACCTCACGTTGTTGAAATCTTCCTTGTGGGACTCAACGACAGCGACGCACTTCATGACGTTGAAAAGCGACCACAACCACTCCACCGTCGTCTTCCGATTCTCGATGGAGTCCACCATGTGGTAGTTGTCGAGCCTGTCCTGTCGAGACACCAAAAACGTCGACTCCTTCTTGCGAAGGAGCTTGTGCTTGCTGAGCGACTCATCCAACAACTTTTCCATGAACTGGTTGTAGATGGGCGGGAGCATATAGTACGAACCCTCGGTGTTGGCCAAGATCGTGATGTTCGCAATGCCCCACCAACTCCTGCACTCCTCAAGCACATCGATCGCCTTGGCGCACTTGTTGAACAGCTCGAGCCAGTGACCGTCTCCGCATCGGTATGGCCATTCGGGCTCGTCGCAGATCCCACCGCTGCCAACGAGCTCGTTCCCGGACCAGTACTCCGTCACGTAGAAGTCATGGTCCTTGAACTCAGGACGTTTCTTGAGGTCCTTCATGGCGCTCTTCACGGTCCACGTGAGAAATGTGAGGTCCTTTCCCCAACACATTCTCACCTCGCAGTGGCTACAACTCGTGCTGCGGTTGTAGTTCATGTCCTGCGCGAGGTCCGCCCTTTTGCGGTTCTTCTTGCCACCGCTGATCAGGGCGAGGCTGGAGTCGCTCACGACGAGGTACACGCTATTCCGGCCACAGGCTGCCCCGGGCGTGATGCGGCCAAGGCCTTTGTCATTGACAGCGCACAACGTGTCCATTAGTTCCGGCGCGTAGTCAGCCGCCCACATAGCGCAAGAGCTTTGCAGAGTGGCTTGTGCTCCGAGGATCTGCTCCATAGTCTTGCGGTCCTCGGGCCTTCTCTCCTGGAACAAAGTGTTCGATGTAAAGCTCGTCATCACTCCTCGCCAGTACTCCAAGTTGCCCTCCGAATACTCCCCGAGGTTGTAAGCAGCCATTGCGGCTACCGGTGAGGGAAGCTTTAGAGCAACAAGTGCACGTTTTGTTGGTCTCTGAGCCGAGCTATCGGTGACAAACTGTTTCATGCTGTCAGCAAACTCAGAAAAAACATTCATGGATCAGGTCAGTCATTTCATACGTGTAAGATTCAGCACGTTTGGGGGCCGCCCCCCTGGACTGTCCATGCTGATGATCCTTTGTGCACTTATACTGTTGCAGTTTGGCCAACGATTGACAGGAAGAAGCAATAGTCCATGACTTTTGCAACAAATTTCCATCCTTGTCAAGGACACCAAACATACAACCATCGCAATTGTACTTGACCATCTCATATTTCATGAGGAAATCATGCACGAAATAGTTCTTCCAATAACTGCAAAGCTTAGGAAGTTCCATGTTGATCACAAGCACAATGTCAAGCCGTCGAAGCATAGTGATAAGTTTATCCAAACGCTTCAGCAGTTTGCGAAACAACGCCTTGTGCTCCTGGATCTTGGCTTGACCTTCTTGAGTCTGACCATTGATATTGTTCCAGGGGCACCCACCCGTACACGGAAGTGAAGCATGAAGCATCACGCAGGGCGGTGTTTTGGACTTGACATTCTTCCTGAAAATTTGCACCTCGTCAAATACCCATTGCAACGTGTCAGCAACCAACGCATTCTGACGCTCAGTTACTCTAA